CCTCCTCCTCTCCCTCCTCCTCCTCTCCCTCTCCCTCCTCCTCTCCCTCTTCCTCCTCCTCTCCCTCCTCCTCCTCTCCCTCCTCCTCTTCTCCCTCTCCCTCTTCCTCCTCTCCCTCTTCCTCCTTCTCTCCCTCTTCCTCCTCTCCCTCCTCCTCCTCTCCCTCCTCCTCCTCTCCCTCCTCTTCTCCCTCTTCTTCCTCTCCCTCCTCCTCCCCTCCCTCCTCCTCTTCCTCTCCCTCCTCTTCTTCTCCCTCCCCCTCTCCCTCTTCCTCTCCTTCCTCTTCCTCTCCCTCCTCCTCTTCTCCCTGCTCCTCTTCTCCCTCCTCCTCCTCTCCCTCTTCCTCCTCTCCTTCTTTCTCTTCTCCCTCCTCCTCCCCCTCCTCTGCCTTCTCCTCCTCTCCCCCCTCCTCCTCCCCCTCCTCTCCCTTCTCCTCCTCTCCCCCCTCATCTTCTCCCTCCTCCTCTCCCCCTCCCTCCTCTTCCTCTCCCTCCTCCTCCTCTCCCTCACACACTCAAGCCTGCACAACCCAGGGAGGCTCCCTGGAGTAGCCTGGGCTTCCAGCTGTGCTCCTCAAGCCTCATCACAGCAGAGCTGAGCTCTGTGCAGACGTAGATCCCATCTGTAGCGCTCGGCTCATTGTCCCGGGTCGGTCTCCTCTCCTGAAGCCACTTAAGTACCAACTTAGACTATTTTACACTGATCTGGCTAAACCCACCCACCTGGGCTGCGTGAGACGAGACCTCCTGAGTCCGTGCCAAACCCAAGGAACCAGACAGGCAGTAGCCTCGCTCCTCCTGCGGTGGCTTCTGCTGCTGGTGAGCAAACCCTGCAAAGAAACCCAAGAAGCACGGGGGTTCTGGTGGCCCCCACCCTTAAAAGCCACTGCGAGAAGCGGGTGGCTTGCGCCCTCCTCCCACCGGCTAGAATGAGTTATTTTAGGGCGATTAAAGCAGGGTGGTGTTTGTTAAATGTGAGTGCTCTGTAATTTGAGAGACAAAAACAGAAAGACAAGAAGGCCCACATGTAGGCTGTGGAATGTCGTCCTGACAAAGAAAAATACTGGGGTTGTTTATAATTTTTTACACATCCCAAGGTTCCTGTTTTCTCTCCTACCACTCCACCTTTTGTATATTCTCCCCACAGGACCGGACAGCTCCCTGGCCCTCCTCCCTTCCCCAGGAAAGAAGGGAGCTGCTCCTCCTCACCCCCGCACGGTCTCCACAGACACAGGGCAAGTCAGCCGGCCCGAGAGCCCCAGCCAGCCCGCCTCATGCAGGGCCCGCGAGCCCGAGTCCCAGGGTGGCTCTGTGGTGAGGCTGCCCGGCGAGTGCCCCCCATCCGCAGTGGGGACAGCAGCGGCTCCTCTTGACCTCAGCAAGACCCAGGCTGCACCAGGAGCCCGCTCGCCAGACGACACCATGAAAGTGGCCGCCCCCAGGGGCGCAGGACCAGGGTCTGAGGGAGCCGCTCCAGCCAGCACTGTCCTGCCACCAGACCCCCACGCTTCCCAGGAGGGGAGTCAAGGAGCTCCAAGTGACCACAGGCAGGCCTCTGCGGTGACCGGAGTCTGCGCGCCTCACAGCTCCCAGCAGGCTGCTCTGCTCCGGGGCCCAGATTTTCTGTCTGCGAGCCCCTCCCTGCCAGCGTCCACTGACAGGATCAAAGACACATGTGACGGTGTCTCGGGGCACTGCTGCCCGTCTGGGAGCACGGGGAGCCCCGTGACAGACATCGACAGCTTCATTGAGGAATCAGAGGCTCCTGCAGCCACGCTCCAGTCTCCCCTGAAGGGGGATTGTGGAGGTCATGAGGGCAGCTGTCAGAGTTGGCCGCTGGTGGGGGCCGCAGGTGGCAGTGCCCACCTTGCCCGGCCAGTCATGGGCACCCAGACACCCTCCCCAAAGAAGGCCTGGGGTACGGGTCCACCTGCGGCGCCACAGTGGGCCTCCCAGCCTTCAGTTCTGGACTCCATTCACCCTGACAGACACTTTACTGTGAACAAAAACTTTCTGAGCAGCTACTCTAGAAATCTTAGCAGTTTTCCTGAGGACAGTGTTTCCCTGTCAGGCCCGGGCCACAGCACAGAGCCCTCTCTCTCATCCATGTATGGCGACGCTGAGGACTCATCTTCTGACCCAGAGTCACTCTCTGAAGCTGCACAAGCTTCTACCAGATCCAGCTGGTCACCCCCTCGTCCACATGGGGCTTCTCAGAAGGAAGACCCCGCAGAGTCTGAGGAAGAGCAAATTGAAATTTGTTGCACAGATGGTTGCCCCAGTCTCCCCTCAGCAAACACCCGTCCTCCCACGCAGGCTACGCCCTGCCCTGCTTCAGCCAGAGTTCTGCCACTGCAGCACAGTGCCCAGAGTGAGTCCACGGACAGCCCCTGTGAGAAAGCCTCCTTCCTGCCAAGAGCCTCATGCACTTCCATCCCAAACTCTCCCCGGCCACCCTCACTCCTGGATATAAGCATCCAGGAGCAGGAAACTCCTGCAGACGTAAGTGCTTCGCAGAACCACGGGTCCTTGTGTGCCGAGGACACTGTGGGAGTCCCCAGAGCTAGCTCAGCCCTGGACAGCAGCCCGCCCTCTATGGCCACCAGGCACTGTCACGACCTACCAGTCACACTCAGCTCCCCCAGCATGATGAATGGCTTGGAACGTAACCTGCTGGATGACAAAACCCCAGGTAAGCAAGAAACAAATGCTATTGCAATGGAAACCGTGTACTCCTTTGGCACAGCTGTCCCTAAGAATGGAGAGTCGGTTCTGGCAAATCTACACATCTCTGAAAGTCAAGACTTGGATGACTTGTTACAGAAACCCAAAATGATCTCTAAGAGGCCCATCATGGCCTGGTTGAAAGAAATAAATAAGAATAACTTCAGTACCCATGTACAGAGCAAAACTGAGATGGAGCCCTGCACGCCACCCTCCAGGAGTCCTGACTCCAAAATCCAGGTGTTAAACTCAAGCCACAAAAAGGGGGTTGCTATGCCCTGTAGCCCTCCTCCGCTGAAAGTCAGTCCTGAGAATAAGGACTCACCTAAAAAGGGTTCGGTGGAAGCACTTTTGAGTAACTGTCAGAAAGCCAAGTGTGGCCCTAAGCTAAAGAGACTCAGCATCAAAAGTAAAAGCAAAGTTGCCTGTGAGGTCGCTGCTTCGAACTCTGCTAAGGCCGCCGGGGTGGATCACAGGAAGTCCTTCGTTTCCCCCCAGACCTCACACAGGACGCTTCCTAAGGGAGCATCACACCGGCTCCACACAGCTGACCATGAGGAACCTGACAGAAACACCACAGACGCCCCCAGGTCTCCCCAGGACATGCTGGAGAGCAAGCCCCCGCTGGCTGCCTCTGCTTCGCTGAAATCCTCGGCATCGGACACAAGCCTCCGATCGGCCCCTTCACCCCTGACCTCCCCCAAGCCTCTTCCCGAGCCAGGTACATGTAGTAGGTTCCACGCGGCCGTCCACTCAGCAGCCAGCCGAGGCTGCTCTGCTACCCCCCGACCCCCTCGGGGTGCCAGTGCAGACTCTGGGCCCTTGAGTCCCACAGCCTTGGGGCGCAGCGTGTCCTTGGCAGGGATCAGACAGGGAGAGCAGCACACGTCCAGCCAAAGGGACTCGGCATCAGAAGTCCAGCCCAGGGGCAATGGTGAAAAAGGCAGCAGAAGGCTTGTCTGTGATCCCCTAGAAAGAACAAACCAGCTGAAAATAGTAGAGATTTCTTCTGAAAGAATGCCAAAGAATGCATGTGGTGACAAGCCAGCTTTAAGTGACAGACAGGGAGGGTTCTCGGCCCAGAGGCACTGTCAGGAGAAGAGTGAAATCAGATCCCACCAGTCAGTGGAACTGTCCCCAAATTACGCATCCTCAGTCATGTCTCATGCCTCTCCGGTGGAGCAGGAAACGCAGCGATCATTCTGTGTTGCCAAACTGGCTTCCTCCTCCTCCCCTCAACCGCCTGCTAAAAAACCAGCTTCCCCCCAGGGAGGACCAAGCCAGACATCAGACTCCCTAGCAGTGCCCGGGAATGGGACTCCAGCGGGCCCTCCAGGGGAGGACGCTCCCTGCTTCACACCTCGGCCGGCCACCAGGACCTACTCCATGCCAGCCCAGTTCTCAAGCCATTTCGGACGGGAGGGCCTTGCCCCACACAGCCCAGGTCGCTCTCCCCGGGACAGCCAGGTGCCTGGGAAGAGCAGTGGTCACCCTCTGGAGGCAAAGGCACCCAAAGGTGGCGTTCTGGGCCTGCCTAATGGACAGGGTGTATACAGCGTGAAGCCCCTGCTGGAAACGTCAAGGAACCTCCAAACCTCGGGCGAAGGAGATGTCGCCGTGGCCCAGGAGACAAGCTGCCCCTTCGCAGACAAAGTCAAAGTCACCAGGAGGCATTACTACTACGAGCAGAACTGGCCCCTCGAATCTACCTCATTCTTTTCTGTGAAGCAAAGGATCAAGTCCTTTGAGAACCTGGCCAATTCTGACCGGCCCACAGCGAAGGCTGGGGTGTCCCCGTTTTTGTCGGTGAGCACCAAGCCTCCCATTGGCAGACGGTCTTCTGGAAACATCACCTCTGGGAGCCTCTGCCACGCCAGTGACGCCGCCGCGAGGTCACTGAGGCGCAGCCTGAGCTCCTGCAGCGAAAGCCAAAGCGAAGCCAGTGCCCTTCTCCCGCAAATGACCAAGTCCCCGTCGAGCACGATGCTGGTAGTTTCCCGGCAGAATCCACCAGAGACCGTCAGCAAGGCTTCCCATTCGAACCAAAAGAAATCCCTGGTTCCTCTGGGAATTCCCGCCCCAACAGTGACCCCGCCCTCTCCCACCAGGAAGAGTAAGTCCTCGGTGCGCCACACGCAGCCCTCCCCTGTGTCCCGCTCCAAGCTGCAGGAGCTGAGGGCACTGAGCATGCCTGATCTGGACAAGCTCTGTGGGGGCGAGGACTACCCTGCAGGGCCCGCTGCTGTCATCTTCAAAACCCAGCTGGAGATTGTCCCCAGGAGGTCGTGCAGCGGCCCCCTGGCAGGAGCCAGTGCGGCCAGCGAAGGGACTGCACCCGCCCGGGACCTGCCTTCCGGGAAAAGCTGGTCCGTTAAGTAAGTCTCTGCCCTTCTTTTTATTTAAATATACTTGCTTTATTTTGGAGTAGTTTTAGGTGAAATGTTCCAAAGGAAATACAAAGAGCTCCCACACGCCTAGCTCTTCCCAAAGTTAACATCTTACAGAACCATGGGCCACTGGTGAAAAGTAAGACATTAACACTGAGCGATCCTAGTCACCAAACCACAGACTCCACTCTGCTCGCAGGGAGTAAATTCCACGGATGTCCGCTCTCTAGTTCAGGATCTTAACCAGAGTACCACAGCGCACTGACCCCTCCGTGTTCAGCATCCTTAGGAAACACAGCGCCTACAGGGAAGCGTGTTTGCCCAGACGTTGCCGGAGCAGCGCGTCCTACAGGACGTGGCACCAAAAAGCGGGGAGGCCACAAGGAAGGGACGGCTGCCGTGCACAGAGGGGCCCGGGCTTCCCAAAGCAACGGGAGTTAAGCGGGAGGCTTCTGCTGCTGTTTCAAGTGTTTCCCTTGAGCCGGTGCTGAGCCTGGGCTCCGCTAAGCGCCTGCACAGGCCCTGCCATCCTCGAGGGCCTCGCGGGGGCACTTCCCACGCAGCTGCTGACGGAGCCCGCCCCCGGGCGCCCTTCCGGTCCTCCAGTTAGTCTAGAGTGGGAGTTAGCGCTGAAAGCAAGCACAAAATCAGGAAATACCTGCAATCTAATTGAAAGATCGTCTCAAATCTATCCTTAGAGAAAGGAGCAATTAGTTTTTCCTTTAATATTCTTCACATGTATGTGTTACTTAGTTTAGATCAACTTCTCGTCTCAGCGGAGGACCAGCAGAGATTACAGGCCGTTTTAGAGTCCGTGGGGTCGAAATCTACCATCCTTACTCTCCTTCAGGAAGCGAAAGCACAATCCGAGGTGAGTGACACGCTGAAAACTCAGGAAGATGAAAATCAGCAGCGCCCAGGAGCGCAACACCCGCTGCGCCGGCCCAGGAGTCCTGCAGCTCCTTTGCCAGCTTCCAGCAGAAGCTAGAGCCTTCCTTGGGTGTGTAGGTGCCAGACTGGTGCTGATACGGTTTTAAAACTCTCCAGAAGCAACCAGTCACCACCCTCCCACATCTGGAGCTCATGTGCTGAGGGTCCTCTGAGCAGAACTAGGAAATGTTCGGGTAGGACCACAAGTACCTCGCTCCACCTGAGTGTGGACATAAACTAGTGAATGGCGCCACCTGCTGGTGAACAAAGAGTTACAGCGGTGTAGCTGTGCTTGTATAGGAGTTGCTGAGCCCCAAAGTAGAAATTAGTAATTACAAAATGTTTTTAAAATTTTTTATTTTATGAAAAAATAAAACAGAATTTCATAACAAAATAGTGAGAGATAACACAAGATAAGTTTTAAATGAATCAGGTATGGCGTAACAACAAAAGAATGTATAGATTCACATCTAGAACAAAAATCTCTCGAGTAAGATTTTGAGGACTCTTCACAGAAATTTAAACCTTAGCCAGGTGTGGTGGTGCAAGCTTATAATCCCAGCACTCTGGGAGGCCTAGGCAGGAAGATCATGAGTTTGAGCCCAGGCTGGGCAACTTAGCCACTTAACGAGACCCTGTCTCAAAATAAAAATTAAAAAGGGCTGGGGGTGTGGCTCACTGCAGAAGGCCTGGGTTCAACACCCAGTGAAAAGGAGGAAGAAGGGAGGACGGAGGATTCTGAACCCTAATACAGTGGACCCTCAACTTACAACTGGCGTGACATACAAACAACTTGCCTTATGACCAGAATTTTAGTTTGAACTTAGAACCAAAGTCTTTAGTTATGACCAAATGCTGGATGCTTGTGCTTCCAGATGGTCTCAGATACAGATTTAACCCTTAAAGAGTTCTGGAAGGAACATGACAACATCCTTTCCTGCGTGGGGTTGGGAAATCCTGGGCCAGTGTCTCCCTGGGACACTGACACCTGCTGTGTACAGAGTCCTCGAAGGCTGTGTGCAGGGGAGCTGAGCCTTCAACTGACAACCTGAGTAACAGCCAGCCCTTGGGAAGGCATTGAGTTCATGAGTTAAGAGTCCACTATCGATGTGTATTTAGAGAAAAAAAATCAAAAGTGAATGATGTTTTTCAAACTGGTAACACTGGTGATATGCCCGGGTTAGTAACGTCACTCACAAACACTATTTGAGAAATTCAGATGTTACCTGGAGGGAAATATTTGTATTTTCTCAGCCAAGGATCAGCCTTGGCATCTAATAAGCTGCCCGAGGAGGCGAGGAGAAAGAGTGGGCAGAGGAGACCCTTAATTCCCTCTCCCTTCGCATCCCCAGCCCAGTGCTTTGGGGCCGAGCTACTCAGAAGCACCTGACGTCAAGACCTCTCACTTCCAGCCCAAGGGCCCAGGCCACCATCTCCTTGTCTCCTCCAGCGCACTGCTGCAGTGGGGCAGGAGCTCATGCAAGCAGGGCTCCCTTGGGATCTCTGGTCACAGTGGCGCCAATGCAGTCACGCTCTGCCAGCCCCCCTCGCCTCCAGACTTTTTACAGCGTTAGATAAAACATCGAGGAAAACCAGAAAGTCTCAGCCAACCTCATACACGAGGTGCACATTTTCAGGCCCCAGAAACAGTGATGAGTTTCCTGCGGACAGGACACACCAAGTGCTGCCCGGACGTCTGGGGCCTCCCTGGCCCTGGTGTACCATTCACCCCCAGACAGGTGTTGTAACCAGTTAAAGACCATCCTGCTTCGGCAGAGTGCAGCTTGTCTCTGTCTTGCCCTCTTACTGCCTTCCGCTGATTTCAGACATGGTGAGGAGAGAGACCCGTACTCTGCTATCTTCATGCTAGCGGTTCTCTGCCTTGCTTTGGCCTAGTGAGTATGGTTTGCAGGTACCAAAGCTAGAACTGCACAAAACTGTTTTCTGTGGCCTCCTGGCAGTGAGAGATTCAAAGCCAAAAATGAGCCCTGGTCTGATTTAAGCACACTCAAGCCTTGGAGATCGCTTGATGGGTCAGCCGGTTTCCTAGATGTTATGCCAAGCTTCTCGGGCAAAATTTGACCTGAAAGTCAGCTGCTGGTGCCCTTGTTTCTTCAACATTAGAAAAAAATTCAAGTCCCGGAACTCTGGGAGGCTGAGGCAGGAGGATCAAATCAAGGCCAACCTAGGCTACATAGCAAATTCAAGGCCAGCCTGGAATATAGCAAGACCCTGTCTCAAAAAGGGAAAAGCAGTTACAATGTTGGTAGCAACATGTCCTGTCGTGCAGGAGAGTCCCATTTTCATATATCATGTGATCAAATAGGTATTTAAATACCTAAGTATTGAAATGTCTGCACCAAACATTGCCTTCCAGAAGCTGCACAAAGATCTTTTCCCAGGCCACGTGTTTCAGGTTTTGTTTACAAAGTCTGCTGACCGCCCTCTGCCCTGAGCTGCACCTGAGCACATGTATGGTTGAAGGTGCCCTTACAGTATCACCCAGCGCCTCAACAGTGGTACATGGACCCTTGTTTGAGGGAACTTTTTTAGAAAGGTATAAAATGCTTGGAAGCCGGGTGTGGTGGTGCATGCCTGTAATCCCTGCACTCAGGAGGCTGAGGCAGGATGATCATTGCAAGTTCAAGACCAGCCTGTGCTACAAAGTGAGCTCAAGGCCAGCCTGAACTGCACAGTGAGACCCTGTCTCAAAAAGACAAAAAGTAGTAATAATAAAATGCTTGGAAATGAGTCCTTGAGACTTACTAATAGGCTCAAATACTTCTCCTGCCGGGGTCCCTCCTTGAGTATTATGGAGGTGCTGTCCCCTTCTGTCATTCCATTGCCTCTCGCCAAAGAGTCTTCATGGCTTGTTGGCAGGCTGTTCTTCTAGAGTGTTCGGGACACTGTGGAGTAGGGGCTTGTCAGTCCCTCCGTGGGAAGCGGAGGGATGCAGAACTTAATCGTCTCTAGTGTGTGGGTAAAGTTAAATTCGGAATTAGCCCATCTGAAATTTTTATTTTAAAGTCTTTTATTCCAAGATGTCTTTGCTTCCAACAAGACAGTCTTCTGTTCCTTAACCCTAAGACACTATTAAAAAGATCCTAGTCCCAATTTAGGCTGGCAATTCATTTCAAATACTTTATATTTTTAACATACTGCACACATTATGATGGCCAGTTAATTAATTGCACCCAAACCCATAACCTGGACACAAGGAAGTGGGAATCGAAAGCAGATGGCTTCAGTGTGCTTTCACCGGGATCTTGGCGCTTAGCGTTTTGCAGTTGTGGAGACTGGTTTGGCTACCCTGTGGACGCAGAGTTACAGAAGGAATCCCCCTTGGAGGTTAAGCTGCGTGCTCTGATCCTATGTAGGACGGCGGTGTGGTGCCTCGCGTGGTTTGAGGATGTAGGCATTTCTAAGAGCTCCCTGCCCGACCTGGCTCGTGCGCTTCTCCCACAGGGCTGCACCCTCACACCTGCCATTCGTGTACCACCCAGCAGGGCGCAGGATGGCTGAGCCGGGGCTCCACCGACGTTTCTGTGAGAGCCAGTCACTGGGAGGGAATAGGTCAGTTTCTCACTCTTTTTGGTTTGGTTTGGTTTTTGGTTTTTTTGAGACAGGGTCTCTCTATGTACTTCAGGCCGGCTTTGAACTCACTATGTAGCCCAAGCTGGCCTCAAATTCACGGGGATCCTCCTGCCTCCACCTCCTGAGTGCTGGGATGCCAGGCATGTGCCACCCCCAGCTCAGAACTTCTCACTTTTGACATAAGGAATGTGTGGTAATTTTTTCCTGTTTCTCCTTTCTAGAATAAAGAAGATGTTTGCTTCGTAGTGTTGAATAAAAAAGAAGGCTCAGGTCTGGGATTCAGTGTGGTAGGAGGGACAGATGTGGACCTGAAACCAGTCATGGTAAGTGACAGTGTCATTAGGCTTCTAGAAATCACTCCTTAAGCAGCTACAGAATTGGATCAGGACATGAATTCCAATCAGAGCATTCAATGACTACTGGGTTTTATTCCTGTAACAACACAGTAGTAAAATTTGGGCAAAAATGAGCATTCTGGGGATATTAAGTGTTGGGGCTCTTAGGGGGCATGGGGGTTGGTTGGGGGGTTGTTTGTTTTGTTATAGAGGATTAAAACCCAGGGGAACTGTACCACTGAGCTACATCTCCAGCTCCGGTTGTTTCTGAGACAGCCTTACTACATAGTCCAGTGTGGCCTTGAACTCGCCATGTAGCTCTGACTTCAGCGTCCCGAGTGCTGGAACTACAGGTGTTCACCACCACACCTGGCCCCCAGCCTGTCTATGTTTTGAGACAAGGTCTCAGTAAGTTGCCCGTGTTGGCCTCGAACTTGTGGTCCTCTTGCCCTAGCCTCCTGAGTAGCTGGGATTACAGGCATGCACCACCACAACCAGCAACATGAGCAATTTTAACTCACGGCTGACATGATATAAGCCAAATGCCAGTATGTATAGACATAATATCTATCCTCTTATAATCTGGCTAAATATCTTATTTAAGCACTAGAAAAATGAGAATCAACTGACCAAACTTGCATTTACTTATAAAATTATTTCTTTCACAAGAACAATAACAAAATCTTTATCATGCCAAGGCCTTGAGATCACTTAGAAGGCCATCTCCATCAGAAAAGGGCAGGCTTCACTCATCTGGCTTGCTGTCACCCAGTGCATGCCAGGCACACAGTAAGCCCTAACAAATTACGTGAAAATATGGAGATGCTGGTGTTGACATCTGTCACCCCGCCTCCCATACTGAGTACCTGTCATTAAAAAAGCAAGGATCTGTTTGATTAGGAAACTTAGACTGAGACCATTAAGCCACTGAAGAATGCAGTGACTCTTGCCGATGCTGGGGGCCGTAAATGGATTTAGCACTCACTTTCTTTGCCTCAGATCCACAGGTTGTTTTCTCAGGGGATGGCTTCTCAGGAAGGGACTGTGAGCCAAGGGGACTTCCTTCTGTCTGTCAACGGTGCCTCGCTGGCCAGCTTGGCCCAGGGAGACGTCCTGAAGGCTCTGCATCAGGCACAGCTGCACAAGCAGGTCCTCCTGGTCATCAAGAAAGGGAGCAACCAGCCCAGGAACCCCAGCAGGCAGGAGCCTCCCGTGGCCCATGGAAAGGGTTCACTAGCCAAAAAGACCAGCTCGCAGGAGCCTGGAACCGGTAAGACAGCAGTGTAACAACCAGCTGGGTATAAGCAGCTCATGGGTCCCAGATAGACACAAGAGAAAAGAATGGCTAATTCATGGGTCAGAAAAATTAAATGTGGTGAAGTCTAGTGTTTTGGGATGCTTCTTGCAAAAGCAGTGTTACAAATAAATTCTTAAAAGCCCACAGTACTTAAAGCTATACTGTTGGGAGATTTTAAATAACTGCCTGGCAACTTCTCTAAGTCTCCTAAGAAGCAAGCCCTTTCCTACTTACACCTTGTTAGGACGTAGGTGGCTGGTAAGTAAAACAAGGAACTCTTGTCATAGGGAAAACAACCTTGATGGAGAAATTCCAGCCTGAGAGGTATCCTGGGAAAAGATGAAGTCGGACTCTCCCATTTTAGAAGAATTTAGGAGATGAAGGGACAGACATCTTTTTGTGTTTGAAAACAAGGACCGTGGCCTTCCGCAGTAAAGAGCTTGCTAGACAAGGGCTCCGATACAGGTTTTCTCCGTGGCCTCCATGACGGACTGCTTGGAGCCTCAACACCAGAGGGTTCATCCCCAGTGCACAGGCTGATGACGGCCTTGGGACTAGCACCGCAGCAGGCCTCTGAAGTGCTGGGATTACAGTAGAAACCCTGATGTCCAGGAAATTTCCCTGCTAAATTAGAGACACTGAGTAGTGGAGACCAGCATCAACCCCTTTGTAAAGCTCCCAGATGATGCAGGAGGCCGCCACAGTTGAGCGCCCTTGTGTAACAGGCCTTTTTCCGTCCAATAGCAAGTCACCTATTAAAAAGCATGCCGCTCCTGGTATTACTATTTCTCTGACTGTGTGGATTCACTTTCTTTAAACCACAATGACAGACTGATCTTTATGTTCAGAGGCGATGATGGTCACCCAGCCTCAACTCTAGGAAATATGTTCAGTGTGCAGTTTGTTGCTTCTGCGGGCCTTCCTCTGCCTCCCAAGCAACTAAGTGCGCCTTTCCACACAGCTCTAACATTCTTGGCTGGTACAACACAGAAGTCAGGGAAATTAAAAGGCAAATTTACAGTCTATTCAGACCCCAGCCTGGCCTCTCCCAACTCACATGCAGTGGGTGCAAGTTGGTTGCCATGGAGCAAGCATCACCATGGCAACACTTCTCCCCACAGTGGAGCCAGATGCCAATAAAGGCAGCCAGTGTGTGAGGAGGACAACCGTGGCCAGGGGCAGGTCTCCCCCCTGAGAGCACGAAGGCCACGGGGCCTGGGAGGAAGCTCTGCCTGGTCCCGGGTGCTTCCCAGGCAGTCAGGACGCTCTTCCACGATGCTGGCCGCTTTGGTGCTGCTCACTTTGGTACCAGATGGGGACACTCGTCGGCCGCCGTAGCCAGGCTTGGCAGGAAGTCAGATTTGCTCCCTCAGTGTGACTTCCGTCCTCCCTGAGATGTGGACCACCAGAATGTGGAGCTTGACAAGGGCCGTTTGTCTTCTGGAGATTTCTGTTTGGGCATAAAAGATTTTCCATGCCTGCAGAAAAGACTCAAGAATGCAGAGGGTGCAAATGCACCAGGAATGCAGGCAGCCAGGGAGCCCTGTACTGAGCCCACTCTAAGGCTGGCCTGCAGGGTGGAAGCATTTCCTAGAGAGAGGACTCGAGGTGCCAGGGGACTCTGGAGTGCATCTGGGGGCAGCCGGACAGGCGGCATCTGAACAACCCTTTCACGTTTATCTCGATGACATCGTTGCTACAGGGCGAGGTGGAGCTGCTAACGATGCTCTGTGTGTTGAAGTGCTGAAGACCTCAGCGGGGCTGGGGCTGAGTTTGGATGGAGGCAAAGCGTCTGTGTCCGGGGACGGACCCCTGCTCATTAAAAGGGTCTACAAAGGTAATGTCCTAGAAAGCTGTCCACTGCCTCCTGCCTATCTTCTTTCCACGCATGTCTCATGAAAATGAGCGCCTTCCATTTGGAAATCAAGCTTGTTTTTAAAAATGTAAGGAGTTCTTAAGGCTTTGTGTTACACAGGGTTGAATCCATATCTGCCTGTTGTGTTTTACACATATTAGAACTCATGCCCTGTCAGGTAGTAATGGATCATACTTGGCCAGTCAGTCCCAGATCTCACTAACTTAAAACAGTACACTGCAAGATGGCAGGAGGGTCACCACAAGTTCAAGGCCAGCCTAAGCTACACAGCGAGACCCTGTCCCAAAAAAGAAAACAAAGTAGGATGGGAGGTAGATAGGTATTACTCAAATAGTTGGGAATATGAAGTCTCTTCCTCAATGGGGAGCCAAGTAGAGGAGGGGGAAATTTGCAGGCAGAAGTGTAGCATGGGCACCGGAGTCCACGGGAGCAAAACTGAGCAACAGGGCCCAGGGATGCTGTCCACGTGTGCTACGTCTAGAACCTCTCTTGGCGTACCTAGAGCCACCGTCAGCATCCAGTCACCAAGGCCACCTCTGAGACACCTGCCTTGCTCCTACCCAAACCTTCCCTGCTGGTCGTCCGCCCTGGACCTGTGACATCTGGATGAGCTCTGTTCTCACTTGTAGCCAAGTAGAACGTGTCAAGAATAAATCATCCTTCCTGCTGTCTTGGCTGAATTGAAAGATAAATAAATCTCCATGGACTGAAAGTGGAAGTGAGGCCCCAGTGATAAGCTGGGCTGCCAGCCTGTGGTCCAGAAGAAGCAGGGGATGAGCACTGTGTAGTAAAGGCTGGGGCGCAGTGCCCCTCCAGGACCAGCACTGAGCCCCTCCTGAGCTTGGGGGTGACTGGAACCAGGCATCTTGTAGGGGAAAGAGCTGGACTTACTCTTTCCCAGAAAACTGGAGTTGAGTGGGCTGTGCTTTAGAGCTTGGGGGCGGCAGCTGAGACAGGCTGTCTGCACATGGCCACACAGGCGTAACTCGGGTGTCAGGCCCCTAACAGTGCCAGGGTAGAGAGAAGGCTCCACGCTCAGAAAGTTAACCCATTCAGGTAACAGCAGTAAACACTGAGCCACACAAGGGCAAGCGTGAGCAACAGTGCTCGACTGTCGGAGCACTCGCTGGGGACAGCGCTTGGCCTAGAGTGCCTGAGGAGATCCGCTGCCGCAGACCCAGGGAGCAGGGAAGTCCATTAAACTGCTGAAGGAGTACTGTCCAAGAAACAAGACCAAGGGGCCAAGTAAAATGCTTTTTCAAGGGGCTGGGGATTTAGCTCAGCGGCACAGCGCCTGCCTGGCAAGCACAAGGTTGTGAGTTCGATTCCCGGTATCAGGGAAAAAAAAAAGCTTTTTCGAATGTACAGAGACACATCCTCTTAGTGAAAATGAAGTCAAATATATTTAGTAAATGAATTAAAATTTAAAAATAAACTAAATATGAAGGTAGAATATGTAAAAATAGTGATAGTACAGAAGGAATGTTTTAAAATGCACCATAGGGAAGCAAAGATAACTACAAAAGGGTAATTAAGGAGCTCCAGAAGGGAAAAACAAGTTAGAGGATATATTTAGAGAAACCATGACCAAGAATTTTCCACAACTGAAAACATGGTCCAGAGACTGAAAAATTTCATGAAAGGCGAAAAAGCTGAATTTTATAAAAACCCATACCTTGCTGTATCACAATAAAGTTTCAGAATATAAAGAATATGAAAAAAAATATTTTGAGACAGGGTCTTGCTATATAGTTCGGCTAGCCTTGCCCTGGCAGTGATCCTCCTGCCTCAGCCTCCCAAGGGCTGGGATTAACATGCCTAATAAGAAAATTTAAACAACAGAAAATTTATATTGTTCACAACAGTACTGCCATCAGACTGACAATGTGAACACTAAAAGCTAACAGAGTAACACCTCTGGAAGATGGAAAATGCCTGTCAGCCTGAAACATTGTACCCAGCTAAACTCTCATTTAAAGTGGACAGCTAAGTGGAAATACTTTAAGATGTACTCGGGAAGCTGGAGCTGTGCTTGGTCACAGGACACAGCCCAAAAATGTGTCAGAAGGCTATGAGCCCTAGGCCAGGGCTTTGGCCGGCTACAGGAGCACCCAGCTGGGTGGCCCACAGTAGTTGCAGCACTGAGGGAGAAAGAGGCCCAAGATGGATGAGTGTCTTTCAGCTCTGATTCCTGCAAAGCAAAATCCAATGGAAGGAACTTTTGGAGTAGGGGACTTTTTTCCATAGTCCAAGAGCTATCCGCCGGTCATCTTGCTCACGCTTGCCCTCGCATGGTCACTGTATTTACTGCTGTTGACTCGATAGCATGAACTCTGAGCACGGAGCTTTCTCTCTACCTTGGTAGTGCTAAGTCCAGGTGCAGGAGGGCCCTGACACGTGACACGTGCCTGTCTTCTGCTTTCCGCTGTGGCCATGAGGAGTCCTGGGACTGGAACCGAGAGCCTCGTGCATGCTCGGTACTGGGAAACTTCACCTCCATCAAGAACGTGGCCAGAAAGCTCTGGAAACTTTTTGTCAGTGGATTAGGAAAAAGCAGCATCTGTTCCAAAGATGGTGTTTTAAATGTTCTCACAGACAACCCTGAAAGGTTTTGTCTTTTGCAATTTCTTATGCTGGGAATAAAACCAGAGCCTCACACACTTATCACTGACCTACACTCCCAGTCCTAACCCTGCTGTTTCACGCTTGTGAAAAGACATTCAAGGCGAGGCATGGTGGCCCATGCCTGTAATCCCAGCACTAGACAACAAGACCCTGTCTCAAAAAAAAAAAAAGTATAGAATTCTACTAAAGAACTAAAAGAGTAAAAATTCATACTTTTAAAAAAAGGATATTCAAGTCCTTTTGAATATTATATGAAGGTCCCTCCTTCACTCTTTCTGGAGACTAGTGAATATATACAGATTAGAGTTTATCTAAAGAGTTTTTCTCTTTACCTTGTAATATTTGTGGGTTTTTCTGAGACAAGGTCCCACTACATAGCCCAGGCTGTCCTTGGTGAACTTCCTGCCTCCCGAGTGCTGGGATTACAGGCATGTGCTATTTACCTTGTATCGTATAATTTTTTTCTGTTCAGTTTCCTTGTAACTTTTAGCTCAAGCAGCAAAAAAGTAATACACCAATACAGTCGAGCATTCCTAATCTGAAATCCGAAATTTTTTGAGCATATGTTCAGAAAGTTTTAGAATTCAGAGCATTTCGGGTAATTTTGGACTAGGGATGATCAGTTAGTGAAATCTATGCAAATACTCCAAACTTTGAAACATTTCTGTTTCCAAGCACCTTGGATAAGGGATACTCACCCTGCACTAACTTTTTGCAATAGGTCTAATAACAAAAATTTTTTGAATAATGAAAGAACTACAGATCATATTTCCCTTAAACTTTCTTGAAGGTAAGCAATTGTATGTGTGAAAAAATTAGTCAATAGTTATTTTTAACCCCTAGTGAAATACCAACCATCCAGATAACAATTAGAACATTGTTACTAGTGCAGTTATGTGTCTGGACTGCTTTTTAAATGTTTCTCCTTTCCTCCTTTGACAAAATAACTAGGCAGACAAAAAGCTATGATGAAAATAAAAGGTATAAAAATTAAAAATACAGAGGTACAATTTGCCATTACTAGAGAATTCCATCTTCTTTCTGATTAGGAAAAAAAATATGGCTGGGAGTGGTGGCACACAGCTGTAATCCCAGCACTTGGGAGGTTGAGGCAAGAGGACTGCCTAAGAGTTCAAGCCCAGCATGGGCTACAAAGTGTGTTTAAGGCCAGTCTGAACTGCTTAGTGAGACTTGTCTCAAAAAAAAAACCAAAAATATATAAGCTAATCTAACACCATGCTGATATGAATAGTGTACCAAAGTGTCTTGGTTACTTTTTTCTTGCTGCTGGGACAAAATACCTGACGCCCAAAATTAAGGAAGGAAAGGTTTATTTCGCTTACAGTTCGTGGAGGTTTCAGTCCGTACTAGGCATGATTATAAGGCAGAGTGGCACGTGGAAGAGGGCTGCATCTCAGGGCGGCAGCACAGCAAAGCAGCTACCAGGACACACACACCAGGGCGGAATGGGGGAGGAGTGCCCCAAGCACTTCTTCCTCTCCCTTACATATGCAAACTATCCACTCCCGGGCGGGTGTAGCTCTCACACCCATATTCAAACTCTAATAGCCTGCCCCAGGGCCGCAGGAGGCTTTGGGGGGACACACAGACATAAACCATAACACAAAGCTGTTGAGTTTATAATTGATATAAAGTTCAGTAAAATTTCCTACATAGCAGACTACACGCTTAAAAAGAAAAAAGATACCCTGTGCCACTAAACAACAGGGGGAGACATTCTAGATGGATTGTTAGCCCATTCTATTATTATAGGAACACTGTGCTTAAGCAAACTAAGACAGCTCCGGTGCCACTGGGTAATATATATAGCCTGTTATTGACTGAAATGTTATGCGACACTTGACTGAAAAGGATTAACATATGGCCAAAAAAATTATAAGCCAATGTAAAAATACAAGTGACTGACTGGAAGCTAATGTGCAATGTATTAACAGTTATCAGAATAAAGAACTATAATAATGACAAAAATGCAAAAAAAAAAAAGAAAATTTAAGAAAGCAAAAAGAAAATTGACATTTAAATCTAAGTGGCCAAGAAACTAACATTAAAGATGCTCAAGTTGGCTGGCTTATGGGGTGAAAATTATGACACTGACAATATTATGAATTATTTATGCCTGTTGGCTTGGCCAAAAACAGGCGATTTCATAATACATGTTGGCAAGGATGTAGAGAAAAGAGAGGACTTGCTCCTTGTAGGGGAATGGATATCCCTCCACCTCTGGGAGAAAACATGGCAGCCTTTATGAAAACAGGGGCCAGGAAACAGTGTACACTTCTGTCTGTAGTAGAACGAGAAAATATATTCATAAAAAGGAACAGTAGATGACAATTAAATAAATTAGATCCTTACATACCAAACAAGACCAGTTCAGTGTAAAGCCAGGCATGATGGGGCATGCTTATAATCCCACCACTGAGGAGGCTGAGACAAGAAGATTGCTGTAAATTTGAAGCTAGTCTGAGCCACACAGTTCACAACCAGCCTGGAATATACAGTGAGACCTTGTCTCAAAAAACAACAATAAAAACCACAGTGTAGAATAATAAAAAGCCAAATGTAGATTGTGCACTGTGTGATATTAATTCAGAACAACTGTAACAGTCTGATTGTGCCAAACAAAATCTACACAAGACATTTTTGGGCAAAACCATAAAAGCTTTCTGAAGAATTTTTTTAAAATACAGTAAATGGAGACAGGCATCCTGCTCAATCAGTTAGGATTCAGTTGACCTCATGTAAGAGAAAACCTAAAATAAGTGTTTAATTTCTCTCTCATGTAAAACCCAAAGGCTGGCACCAGCTTTGGTCTGCACAGCACAAAAGAATTTCCACCCGCTTCCTCTGCTCTGATCCCTCTAACATCCTAGTGAAATAAGACACGACCATCAGCATGGCAAATGAGGAAAATGAGAGAAATGTGTAACTTGCCAGGATCGCAGCGTGGGACCCAGAGCCAGTCTGATTGCTCCCTGTGTGCTTCCCGCTAACACAGCCTGTGCGGGCTGGGGAAACGCCGGTCCTTAGACCCAGGGCCGCTCCCACCTTTGAACCTCTCTGACCTCATCTGACCTGCTCCAGGCCTTCAGGGAACGTTCTAGACCATGATGCTGGGTATGTGCTGTCACAAATATAAATGGCTGTGCCCAACAACAGTACTTCAGTCCTTCTAAGAATCTATCTTGAGAAAGCAATGACTGTGATTAAATCATCTTCACTGCTTCTACTGTAGAGCACAGGTGAGGCCTTGCTCCTAACAGGAGTATCTCCCGGTATCACTGAGCAAAGCATCCTTGGCTGGGGTGGATGTGAACTTACCACTTTCTTCCAAGTTGTGTGTTTTAGTATTTTATCAATTTTATAATCAACTATAGTTACATGTGTACAAATACCAAATATTTGACAACTTTCAGAAATTTAAGATAAAATAAATATCTGCTCAGTCTTTTTGAGGTCACTGAGAAAATTAATTTTTATTTTCACTCTTTGGAATTTTTCTTTCAGTGCCGTATAATCATATAGACAAATTATCTTCCTCTGGTCCGTTGTTTTTGTCTTGCTCATATTTGGGCAAGGAGGAAATGGGTCTAAGAGGTTTTTTTTTATGTAGTCCAATTTATTTTTACGGATATCTTAAATAGTTCCCTATCTGAAGCTGTGCACAAGAGCACATGGTTATAATCAAAACTAATCCCAAGGCTAAGGCAAGAGGATCTCAAATTTGAGGCTGGCCTAAGAAGATAGTGAGATCCGGTCTCCAAATGATAAAAAGTACAATAGTTGCTGTCTTGTGTATTTTGTCTCAGTAACGAGAAAAATAACACCCCAAGTTAGAGGAGGAAAGGTTTATTTGGCTCACAGTTTGTAAAGGTTTCAGTCCATAATCAGCTGGCTCCACAGCAGGGTGGCCTGGCAGAGGGGCATCTCAGAGAAACAGTTCATGGAGGGCAGAAGGCAGCAAAGCGAAGGACTTTTAGCACTTTTTTCTGTCCCTTTTATATTCTACCTAGGCTACTGGGATTAGGGCAGTGCCAAACCAATCAGTGGACTGATTTAGTGATCACCTACCCTTCATCCTAGCACCCTTAATCCTACTATTGCACCATGAATCAACCATAGCCACCAGAAAAAGTCCCACCATGAATCAACCATAGCCACCGGAAAAAGTCCCACCTATGACTGCGTGTTTTGGGGAAACATCTAGACACAAGCCATAACAGGTGCCTATCTTAAGAATACACGCATGTCATTTAGGGATAGTTCTCATTTAAATTTTTAATTTAGACTTTTTTTTGAACCCTATGAAAATGCCAGGCCTCTATTCTGTATTTGTTCTAACAGGCGGCGCAGCAGAGCAAGCTGGAACAATAGAAGCTGGAGATGAAATTCTTGCTATTAATGGGAAACCCCTGGCTGGGCTCACGCACTTCGATGCCTGGAATATTTTGAAGTCTGTTCCAGAAGGTCCTGTGCAGTTAGTAATCAGGAAGCACAGGAATTCTTCGTGAATTCTGACAAGAATCACTTCTCAGTTCTATTTCAGCGAATCAAAATGACTTCTTTAAATGACGGGTTGAGACAACAAGCAATGGCATAGATGATACAAGCTCCCCACATTTGTCCTTACACACGAAGTCTGACCTACTGTGCGCAGCAACTATGAAGGGAAACTCCAGAAGCTGTTCACCTGGACCAGGCTGGGGGTTCGTTTTGTTCCAGCACCTGTCCCCTCCTTTTATGTTTGCAGGGGGATACACGAGGCGACATGCCCTTCTTCATCTGAAACACCTAGCTACACCTCTACATCCCTCCTGCGCCATCTTCCAGCATCTAATCCTGCTGAGTAGGGCCCCGAGAGGTGACACAAATGTCACAGCTAACAAGACTATAGTTTCATATGATTTTGTAAGTAAATGACACAATGCTCTGAGGCACATTCAATGGAAAGAGGAGCTGTAGGTAGGTAGGTAGTACCCTGAAAAGAAAATGAATAATGACCTAATCCGTAGGCTGAGCTCAGGAATTACCCCAAACTGAAAAGGCAAAATACAGAAAGTAGTATTTAATGAGTGTAATGTACAATGTATGGAAGCAGAGTTCAACTCAATGAGTTGACTATGAAGTATTGATCATTTTCTATTTCTGCAAATTTCTTTTAAGTCATGCAGCTGTTTTAGAGAATTAGCAACCCCGATAAACTGTACTACATAGCTGCGAGCTTTGCTGCTGGAAGGAGCAGGAAGTTCCAGATGTGAAAGCACCTTGCACCTCGTTTTCAAACTGGTTTTGAGTAAATGCTTGATTTCAAGACTAGTCACAAAAGCAGGCAAAATTTTCAGCCACTAGGTCTCCATTTCTACATCTTATGCACTCCACGTACTAATTTAAATTTCAGAAATCAAGTATCTTTTTAATGCCCTTGGATTTAGAGACAGGGGCATTCTATTTAAAATCCAAATTGAAAAGTCTGAAATAATCCTCTGAGGAGAATTGTCTGGACCGTTTTTCTCCTCTTCCCCACACATTTAAATAACATAGCTTTCTAAGTCACAGTTCTCTTTTTCTTGACCTGGTGCAATGACAGAGATCTGCAGTAACTGAAAGTTTTGTTTTCCTGCAGACTGTCGTGACTCACGCTGCTTATAAATCCCCCTGGCCGCCATTAGCTCCTCTGAAGTGGCCATCCCTTGTCACAATGTTGACTTTTCTTCCCTCCCACTCTACCTTCTTTTCCTAAATTCCAAAGCCTCACCAGCTTGGTTTACCAAAATGTCCTAAGAATGAGGAAGAAAAATGGAAAAACAGGGTGAGTCAAGGTAAAGGGTCATGCAATATTTACAATCCAAATCCTCGGGTGGCACAGGTCAGCCCACTGAGTTCCAGGAATACGGGTGGAGATTGCATTAGTCATACCTGAACACATGATGCTGAGATTTTATGTTGGCGATTTCTTTACATAACTTACAGCTATGTCTATGACTACAAGCCTTGGACCATGGAAATACACAAGCTATCACCTTTGTACATCATTTTTCTGAGTGACTAACCCTGCTATATATCTATGGAGCTAGCCCAGAGAGGTCCCTCGGATGAAGTATCTGGCTTATCTGAGCCCAGATTTCTCACTTTTCAACAGGTTATACAGAGGAATATGCAGTACAGAAGTTAGCTAGAAAACCTGATTGATTTAATGTCTACTTTTCATTGCAGTTACAGGTAGGATACTATAGGAAATCAGTGCAAGGTGCATGCTAGATTGTTTTTTAAGTCTCTGGGGTCAGTTTTGTGGTTTCTGCTTTCTTGCCTAAATGATGAAACTATTTGAAGTCAACACTGAAAACCAATTTTTCCTCCACTATTATAGCTATGTCTATTTATAAGAAATTCACAGTCATATGTGATCAGACAGGAATTTCTAGAGCAAAATGGAGCAATGGCGGGTCTTCTGAGTCCCTAATCCTCATGTCTGAAGAGTACAGGGTGAACCCCTGCCTTACCACACTATGTTCAATCAACCATTTCTACAAAAATCTTGCCTGAAGGGTTCCCCCGCCAACAGGAGGACTGAGGGAAGAAGCAAAAACTAAGCTGTCTTTGACCCTGGGATAGAGAGCTATTTATTTGTCTTCGGTGTTCAAGGCATGACTAGTATTTCTAATTAGTCTAATAAATTCCCACACTTCCTGAAGTGAACACTAATGGTATTGTCCTACCAGAACTTCCATTGTTTTTTTCTTTTTTAAACTGGTCAGTCATTCACAGTAGGCTATGAGCGTAAATATGTGTTAAACATGTAAATCGTAGTTGCAAGAATATACAATGAAGGCCGAGGAGCCTGGGTTTCGTTTCCACCCTCCCACACACATCTCATTGAATTGTATGGTTGACTTAATTGGCACCACACCTGTTGTATGATATTATACATTATCCTTTATTTATGTAAAATAAAATGCCTTATATATTAAAGAGTAAGTGCAATAATATGAAATAGCCTGTACATTTTAAAATGTTGTCGCCAAGTTATGTAAATCCACATGTGTAAACAACTTTTTTAAGTAATTTTAAAAAATAAACTGCTTACTACTTGGTTTTTTTCATTGTTATTCATTTAGAGTAATATCTAGATGAAATAACGACAGATGCTACCTAGTTACCGTGTAAATAGATGAGAGGTACAAAGGCAAGAAAACTCTAATCAGTCACTTTTCCATTGGCCACACTCAATCTTGACATAATCCAAAATCATTCCACCTCTAAAATCTTAAACACCCAGCTCTTACACAACTTCCTGGCCTCTGGTCACTTCCTCCCACTACATACTGTCGTCACCAAGCCCGCTAATCCCTTGACAGCTGTGTACTTTCTCCCCGTCAGAACCATACCCTTCTGTTGCCTTCCCTGGCTCAGACCCAGTCTGTCCAGCCCACAGGCTTGGGGCCCTTGCCCCACTGACCAATCTTTCCAGTCAAGCCTGGATTCTTCCCACTAGCCACCACCTTGGTTCCTATTCCCCTACGCCTACAGAAAAATCCCACACAGGAAGTATATGGCTGTAAGTTCTTTTCTCCGACTTCTACTGGACCGCTGCTGGTTCTTAGCAGTTGTCAGCTTTTTCCTCTCATTTTTTACAATTATGTTCTGTTTCTCTCAGAAACCCTAAGTACTCGTCTTTACTCTCACACCAAGGCCATGTGAGGCCCTACTTCACAGAGGGAAATCAAGTATCCACTTTACTTAGGCTGTTTGGTTTTAAGATGCAGACAGCAACTTACAGGGAGCCCAAGAAAGAAGGAAAGATGGCATCTCCCAGGAATCCAGGCTGGCACCCAGCATGAGCTCAGTCACAGCTCTGGGATTTCCTTATCCCACGCCCTCTTGTAGGCTTCCAAAGTTATCTGTGCTCTGTTTCTGCCACCCACCTAGCACCCTTTCCGCACTCAAGCAATTGTTACCTAGAAACCTCCAGTGACTGCCACTTTGTCATAATTTCAGCTCACACAATATCCCACCATTTTTGACATACAAGCTGCTACTTAATTCTTCCATATATATCCCAAAGGCTCTCATTGCCTCAGCCTCCCTATACTTGGCTAAAGCATTTTCCCAGGAGAGGAAGTGTTTTTTTTTAATTACCCCCTCCCTGAAGCCCACCAAAATGAACAAAGAAGGAAACTCTAGTTCTACGATATGGAAACAGCCACTAACCCATTCCATGAATTTGGAAAACTACACCACATATAGTAAGACCTAAGACCAAACTGAAGAACAAGTAAATAGGATACAAACCTGTCTGAGAGAGAAAGCACAGGAGGCATGAAGTAAGAGTTCTTAAGAACATCACCAAAACCCTTCCCTTCGAGAAACAGATGCAGGATGAGCCTGATCTGGAGTCATCTTCATGCCTCAGGATGGTGGGGAAGGTGAGGTGGAAAAGGGGATCACTTTGATTTTCCCCAGCACCTAGTGGTCATTCTAAGTAGGTCAGAGTAACAGGCAGGGCGTAGTCTGATCTGGGGAAGCCTCCATCAGACATAACTCTGCAATGCAAGGACTCGGCCACTCAGTAAGAAATAAGCTGCCAGTCACCACTACCCCACACAACCTCCTGATCCCCACCAGAGCCCAGGATGCCAGTCAAGATTATAATCAGGTGCTGTACAGTGCCCCTCTAGGCCTGAAGGGTGAACTGAACGATGCTTAAACAGCGAAAAGGCTCCACCAGTGACCAAGCTTAACCCAACACCAAGCTCAGGCAGAATTCATCTAATCTAAAGTGGATTCAGCAAGGCTCTTCCTTTATAAAGAAAAGGGCAAAGAAAAGAGAAGCAAGGAAAAGGCACAGAGGGAGAGGAACAGAGTATGGAAAAGTGCTCAAGTGTGCCCACACACAAAGCTCAGAGAAAAAGGACGAACACATCCTCATCAAAACTTGGAAGGCACCCCCAACAAAACTGTAAAGTCAGTGGGGACAAACCACCACCAGCGTTAGCACCAAGACAATTTGGTACCACAATCTGTACCAGAGAAGGAGGAGAAAGCAGGTCACCCGATGGCCAAAAAGACCCCACCAAAATCCATACAATAGGGAAGGTAGAGCTAGTGGACAGCAGAGCTGGAATCTGATGAGGGAGGCTGAGGCAGGAGGACTGCCACGAGTTCTAGATCAACCTGGGCTACACAATGAGTTCAAGGCCAGTCTGAACTACACAGTGACACCCTGTCTCAAAAAAAAAAAAAAAAAAAGTAATAAGGTTCAGATAAAAAGTGAGGGGAGTAGATTTCAGACAATTAGCTGCCATATTTTTAAACATTCCACCAAAACAGAGACAAGGGCTAGAAAATTTAGGCTTACCCAGCTCTCCTAAAAAGAACAGGAAAAGTAATTCATATGAAAGAGACAGGACATGCTATAGAAGTGATGGTGAACCTTTTAGAGCTTTCAATGATAACAGCCAGCTTCAGTACGCATGCTATAGGCTCACCACCACTGCTACAGGGTCAGTTCCCATACAAGTATTTGTGTGTGTGTGTGTGTGTGTGTGTGTGTGTGTGTGTGTGTGTGTGGACAAATATAATCCCCGCAGGCAACAGCACACCAGAGATGTGCCCAGCAAAGCCGAAAGAACTGTGACTCAACACCACAAAACTTGAGCTGTAATACATAAAGAAAATGACACAAATGACTAACAAACCAAAATGAGAAAAACTCAAGAAATTTTGATTAAAACTCAGGAAAGATTAAATAATTAAATTCAAGAGTCAACTAGAAATATTCTCTGAATAAATATGATTACATCTATGAGAAAGACAAGATATAAGGAACTGTTTAAATATAAGAAATAAAAAACCCATGTGAAACTGACAATGACAGAAAAAAAATACATGATTAGTCTCCTAAAGACGAAAATCTAAAAAAGGGAACAGAACAAAACTTTTAAAATTTCCTGTAACTAGCCGGGTATGGTGGCACACACCTGTAATCCCAGCACTTGGGAGGCTGAGGCAGGAGGATTGTTTCAAATTTGAGACCACCCTGGGCTACAAAGTGAGCTCAAGGCCAGCCTAAACTGTACAGCGAGAGCCTGTCTCAAAAAGACAAAAAAAAAAAAAACCTCCTGAAACGGATATTAGAAATATGTGACAGTAAGTTAATGAAAGAACATACCAAGACCAAAACAAACTCATAGCGCAAACACAAAAAATACTGGGTGAAAAATCAAAGCATTCATGGGGAACAGAAAATCCTATTATAGTAATTATCAAAGCCTGACAGCAGCAATACTTTAGGCTGAAGCATATTTTTCGTACTCAGAGACAATGTTACCCAAAAATTTTACCTGACAAACTTTGAGGTAAAAGACCACCAACTGTCATTAGCACACAAAATCTCAGGTGATATTATTCTCACAAACCCTTTCTTAACATATACTAATGAATGATGGAGATAACCACAATGACTGAATGGAGTTGAGCATAAAATGCATGTACTTTAAGAGTTAAGCCCAAACCAGTAAGAAGAGATTATGGCATATAATGACTGCATGTTCTTATAATGCAGATGCACCACAACTCCAAGGGGGGGGAAGAACTCGAAGAGCATCTTAGGTCTTTTTAGCTGAGCGTGGCAGTGCACACCTGTGATCCCAGCACTCCGGGGGCTGAAGCAGGAGGATCACCACAAGTTTGAGGCCAGCCTGAACTACACAGTGAAATCCTGTCTCGGAAAAAAGTAGTCTTTTTCAACTCTGCTTTAAGTAATTGTATTGGTGGCATTGTATTAATACTGTTGTAAGAATGTCTTCAGCATTATGGTTTGTGTCTAGATGTCCCCCACAAAGCCTCATGCAACCATGCGCGGCAGGCTTCTAGAGTTTGTGATTGATTCACAGTCCAATGCTATGATTAAGAGTTTGAGTGCTACACCCGCAGCAGCAGCCTGCATTCAGTATAAAAGATCGAAAGAGGCGTCACTATCCCTGTCCCCTCTCACCCCCACTTGCCTGCTTTGTTTCCACCACAACTGTTAGGACACCCTGCCTTGGAGCACGTCAACTATGGACTGAAACCTCTACAAACTGTGAGCTAAATAAACCTTTGCCCCTTTAACTTTGGGTGTCAGGTATTTTGTCTCAGCAACAAGACAAATAACTAAAAGAGTGTAAAGAAAAAATGAGTAATTATGCCAGGCACGGTGGTGCATGCCTGTGAATCCAGCAGTCCGGAGGCTGAGGCAAGAGGGTCACCAAAAGTTTTGAGGCCAGCCTTGGGCTACACAGTGAGTTCAAGGCTAGCCTGAACTGCATAGGGACACCCTGCCTAAAAAAAAAAAAAAAAGGCACTCTAGGGAATCAGTGTTGATCAAATAGAGATATCATACAATTTTTTTGAGGGGTAGACAAGGTCTCATCATGTAGTTCAGGCTGGCCTTGAATTCACTATGTAGCCCAGGCTGGACTCAAATTCATGACGATCCTTCTGCCTCAGTCTCCCAAGTGCTGGGATCACAGGCATGCCCAGCTCAAAAACTAGAACACTTAATAAGGAAATGTGGACAAACAGCTTTAAAGACAGAACACAGAAAAGCCTACATATCTAATGTGAAGATCAATGTGAAGTATCAATGTAAACTCAAAGTATTTCAATTTTTTCCTTTTTGTTCCTTTTTTCCATTTTAAGCTTACAATTTACTGAAATTGTGTAATTATCACCACTATCAATCTCAGAACGTTTTCATCTTCCCAAGCTAAAACCATGATGTAGAATGAGCCCACATACACACAGCCATACAAACATACACAGTACACACAATTTTCCCCCAGAAGCAACGACCATGGCAGGAATATGAAAGCCCAAAGTACGGTCCTGAAATTCTATTTTATGTTAAAACAAATCACAGCATTTTGGAGAAACTGATGATTCCAGGCATGGGACAGGAAATGTACAATCTGAACCTGGAACACCGTGCGGCACCAGGAGGTCACCAAAGACTACGGCTAGAGTCGGGATCCCTGAAGAGGGTTCCCCCAGCCAAAGAAGAGACGTACTGTGTATTAAAAAGAAAAGCAGCTGTAACAGTTCAAAACATAAACGAGTGTCTTACACCACACCAAGTGAACTAACCAGGCACAAAAAGACAAACACTGTTAGGGTCTCACGTACATGTAGACTCTAAAGAAGCCCATCTTCAGCAGAGTAGAAAGGAGGTTACCAAGGCCAGGGGCCAGGGAGGAAGACTGGGAAAAGGAATGCTGATTAAGGTGTACAAAATTAGACTGAAGGGGTAAGTTTTAGAGGGATCTACTGCACTGCACGACGGTCACAGTTCATAATCTAATCCAAAACTGCTCCAAGGACAGACTTCTAACATTCTCACCAGAAAAAAGGTAAGCTTTTTTAAGGCTATGGATGTTGTTAATTAGCTTCAATGAACCTTTCTGTAATGTACACTTAAGATGGAAACATCACGATACTCTACCGATATACTTAATCATTTACAATTACAGACAGCTTGTTTCCATGAGTTCTCTGGCGGGTGCCAGGGAACCAACTCTATTTTGAAAACTGATAAGTAAACTATGAATTTATCCTACCTTTCCTCTACGAACTATACTAAAAGTAACATAAAAGATAAAGTTCCCCCTTGTAGGAATATTCTAACTCTGTAATCCCAGCACTCAAGAGGCTGAGGCAGGAGGATTACTTTGAGTTCAAGGCCAGCCTGCATTAAACAAAGTGAGAACCTGTCTCAAAAAAAAAAAATATTCTAACAAAGAAGAAATGGTGGGTATTAAAACACCACCACCCTAGAACCCAAATAAATCACAGGATCTAACAATTCAACAGTAAGGCTAACACCACAAAAAGAGTCATATAATATGACTCCTGAAAAAAGTACACACCGACACCTATGAAGCACAATTATCTACACAAAGAAACCTGAATCTGGTTAGGTATCTGCCCTTCTTGGGAAATAAGTCCGAGAAACACGTTACATTATGCCATGCAGAACGCAACCACTAAAATCTAAACTTTGGAAAATGCCACAGGACAGACAAATGACCCAGCTTCTTCAACAAATATTTTGCAAGGGAAAAATAGAACAAAGAATATATAAGGTTAAAAGACACTTAAGACATATGAAATGGAAAAAAAAAAAAAAAAAACAGAGCAAACCTATCAAAGATGCATACTGGATCAGGATAAGCATTTACAACCAGGGATCAGAAAGACTAACCAGAGGATGCCTCCAATAGCTTCTGGTACCTGGCAAGGTTCCACCTCCTGAGTGATAGCTGTAAACACATCCGCCTTAAGTAATTTATTAACCTACACTGTGTATTACCGTTTATATTTCAATCACAGTTTCAATGAAATTTTTACAGATATTCATAACCTAGACAGTTTTCATTTGTTAACCATATCCCCCCAAACTGATATACATACCTCTCACCAAAAGGCACATCTCTTCAGTAGCACAGCAGGACAGCTAAGATCTCCCCCCGAACTTCAGCACTCGGGAAGCTGAAGCAGGAAGACTACACATTCAAAGCCAGCCTGAGCTACACACTGGACCCTGTTTTATATTCTTCAAAGACCGGGAAAACCAATGGCGTCACAAGCACAGGGTTAAGTCCTGGTCAATTAATACACAAAAAATTAAAGCCCATTAGAAAAATGAGTGAACATGAATAGGTAACTTGCTGAAAAAAATACAAATTACAAAAAAAGAGAGTAATGATAACCAACCCCTCAACAATTAAAACTTACTAATTCTCCCCTATTAGGCCGGGAAAGGCTAGGACTGATGATACCCTCTGCAGTACTCGCTAGGGTATAGGGAAGACAACTTGGCATTATTGGTGGAAGCATAAGTCAAACTAGAAATCACCTCAGCTTTATTTTCATGTTTTCAAACTATATTCTTTAATCAAGTCCATTCTAAAAGTCAGGGAAATATAAAGATACACACAAAAACATACAATATCATTTGTAATTATAAAAACTATGACACTATCCCAACTATCTACTAATGAGAGATTTAACTAAGCTGTACAATAAAACCATTCAGAAGAACAATTACTCTCACAGCTAAAATATAAATGCAAAAAGTAAACTGCATTAATGAAAGTCAGACTATACTACTATTCTGGCAGTAGCTACCTATATAATTGTAACCTTGGGGTGAGAAAGTACGCATAGCAATTTAATTAAACCATGTTACCATCTACATTCCTGTGGAGGACAGCCTGCACCATTATGCACATTAACATCGCCATCTGACATGCAGGCAGAATGTACAGAAACCAGGCGTCTCACCCTTGGACCCAACGGGCTTAGGGGAACTGAAAAACCACCTCAGGTTGTCAGCTGTCTTGAGATGGATGAAAGTGAAACAGAACAATATTATCTGCCAATATACAGTAAATTAATACAAGATGGGAAAGTCACAGAGCTGGAAATTAAACTCCACAAACAAACTTGTAACTGGTGGTTCCCATGCTGCTGGGGCTAGCGTAGCGATGCCCAGCAGTCACAGACTTAGCATCAAGCAATATCATTTTTGGCAGGAAAGGAAGTTATTTTAATAGAAAAATATTTTTCTATGTATTAACACAGTGGTTGACAAACCAAAGCCCATGCACAGCTGCCTGTTTCTATAAGGCTTCACTGCAAAATGCAACACACCCTAGCCCTTTATTTGTAACGTCAATGATAGCCTTCATTCACAGAGTTGAGTGATTTGAAACAAAGACTGCATGCGGCTCACAAAGACTAAAATATCTACTATCTAGTTCTTTAAGAAAAAAGTTTGTCGAACTCTACATTGAAATATTATAGTGCTACCTGTAACCCCAGCACTCAGGAGGCTGAGACAGGAGGATCATTGTGAGTTTCAAGGTCAGCCTGGGCTATAAAGTGAGCTCAAGGTCAGCCTGAACTGCACAGCAAGACCCTATTCTCAAAAAAGATGAAGGAAAGAAAGTAAAGAAAGGAAGGAAGGAACGAGGGAAGGAGGGAAGAAAGGAAGATTGATTGATTATAGTGCTATACTAGGTAAGAAAGCAAGCTGAAGACACAAAAAAGCAAATGACATGCATGCTCTGATTCAGGCACTTTCAAGATCATAGTTTATTTATTACTTCAGATAAAAAGATAGTATACATATTAGGGAATCCCTTAAAATTCAACTCTAGAGTTATACACCATCTAGTACTTTTGCATTGAATGTTAACCAAAAAAAATTTCTAAACACCTGAAAGCCCCACTATTAACATGAACTATGGTAATAAAAAAATTTGACATTTAATTTGTTCAATGTATAGTATTTACATTATGAAACCAATGGTGGTATAATAAACAGTGATAAAGAAATAGTAAAAATAAACTTTAAAAAAGCAAAGGCTTATAATCTTACAATGTGCTAATTACCGTAATTGTATATAAAAAATTAAAACATAGCAGAGCTTTCTGTTACAAAATTCTTAATCATCTGAGTTGTAGTCATTACTTACTACCAATTTACATGCAACATGAGCTAGGACATTTGATTTTTTTTCTTCAAGAAAGTATAAAAATGCTATTTCAGAGCAGACATTAATTTTTTACTTGTGGACAGAAGAAAAAAAAACTGTACTCAAGATTAGTACTGGTCACAAGCCTCTTTCGAACATAAATCATAAAAACTGTTAAGACAAAAAACAATCCAAAGATGCATAGGCAGAGAGTACCGTGAGTGGCACAAATCAAAGAATCCTGCAACCAATTAAATACTCATCTTTTCTGTCTCCTCCTGTGAGAGGTCTATTCCGCCATCAATTAGTAATGACTGGAGCAAGTGTGAGGGGCACCAGGTGTATAACTAACTAAATCTTACAAAACACTAAGATGGAGGCAGGGGTGGCCAGAAGGGGCAATTTATATTTAATTCAAACTATATACAGCATAACTGGAATGCAGCCCATCCCAAACTGGCTTTGTGAAACAAATGGACCTCTCTGATTGAATAGTTAAAATTATAACAAGTGTAATAATACAATAGATTTACACGGGAAGCAAAATCCAGGGGGGCATTTTATATTAAGTATTTACTGTGCTGTTTCAATTTAAAAATAATTTTGCTAAGTATACATTTCAACTGAGGTCTATATATAAAATGTACTAATAGATACAGGTATTTACCTTTGGTGAGTTGAAGGCCTTGTTGTGACTTCTGTCGGAATTGTAGGCAGAATGCTAATGTACAGGAGGGAAAACTCAAACTGAGGCAACCCAAAAGCTGTGCATGTGGGGTGACTAGAGCTACTTTGAAAGTCAAAGTATACCAGAAACCCAGAACAGGTAATAGTGAGAATGGAAGGGGAATGGAAGGCCAATATGGCAGTAAAATCTGTGAAGAACAGAAAGAGGAAGCCTCTCGTACCAGCAGAATCCTGCGTACATACAAAAAAGAAAAAGCCACCCACCATTTCATAAAACAAAAGCCAATTATAGTGTGGGAAGTACAAACTGCAGAAAACCAGAAGTCAGTAGAAGAAAGACTACTGGTTTACATGAGAGAAAGAAAACGTTTCATTCTGACAGTTACTTGGTGAACGCCGCCACCACTGCCCACAGAACCTCGTTGGTGTTAGCCTTCAGACACTCTACTTCTGGGTCCAAGTCCAGGAGCTGCCGCACTCTCTTGGTGGCTAAATCATACTGCTCGTCCAGAAGAGGAGCAAACGCGTTCTCCAGGACATCTGAGGCGTGGGCTAGGTAAATGAGGGCCAGCAAGCGCTTGTCCATGCGATGAGGGTCATTCACCCATTTGTCAAGAACAGCTTCTTGAACTTTCTTGATGAGGCGCTGTTTAATGTTGTTGTTGGTGAGAGGATGTGTCGTCATGTCAAAAAGTAGGAAGTTCTGTTTCTCGGTAGTCAGTACACCCTTTTCCACCAGGTTTTTAGCTAATCGTTCCCGCACGTTTCTTAACTGATAATGTAATTTTAATGGATTCCATGTCTCACCTAAATGAAAGATTTCAAAGGTTAGAAATGGATATTATTTGCTAATTTTGTGAAATTTCTGAATTATTAAAATAAGCGGTAAAGTTTGATTTTTTATGCACAAAAAGAAAAAGAAAATTCAACAATGCCCTCCCAACTAGACCACAAAGCTGGTCCTTTGGACTCTCAATGCTGGCATATTCTCAGGTACAGCAGTCACTCAAACATCTAAACTGAAAGTAGTCTTCAAACCAGTCACCCTTAGTCTAAGGGGTAAAAGAGCCAAGCATGACACTATGTTCCTGCTCTTTCCAGCTGTTATCAAAAAAGCAGCCAAAACATTACTCTGCAACAGACAAAAGGAAAGAAAGTTTCCTGACTATATATGCTACTCCTGAAATCACACATACAAAGTCACTAGTAACAGGAAAGTCTGCAATGGTAATTCTATTCTTTGATGACAAATAATATAAAACTAATTCTATGAGATCAAAAAAGTGTCACACTGAGAGTGGTGGGTAATCCCAGCACTCTGGAGACTGAGGCAGAAGTTTGGGGCCAGCCAGCGCTACATAAGCGAGTTCAAGGCCATCCTGCACTACACAAAGAGACTCTCTCACAAAGGAAAGAAAGTGTCACAATTTTAATCTTGCCTTGTGAGACAAATATCTTAAACAGAACCAAATTTTTCACTAAGCCTTTTTTCCTTTAAAGAATAACAGAAGGAAATTTATCAGCATTAATCTTGGTTATCTTCTAGAGTATCTGTGACATTGTTTTTTAACATTTTCTGTATTTTCCCAATGATTACTAATGAACACAATACTTATTTTTGTAATTTGGAGGAAATATACTACAGTACTTTCCTAAATTAGAGCATGTTAAAAGTCAATCATAGGCACCTTTACTAAAAGAAAACACTCCAAGGCTAAATTTTACAACACAAGAGAAAACTTTAAACTTCACTGCTCGTTACACATGCCGTTAACTACATTGAAATATTAAACTTTTAAAAACTCAGTTCCTCAGTCACACAAGCCATATTTCAAGCACAAAGAGCCACATGTGGCACTGACTAAAGACCAGACAGCAAAGGAATAAAATTGTATCCGTTTGTTTTGATACTGGGGATTGAAACTGGGGATTTCACAACAAACTACATCCTAAGCACCTTTTTATTTTTTGAGACAGTCCCACTAACTTGTTAAATTACCCAGGCCTGGCTCAAACTTGAGATCCTCCTGTCTCAGCCTCCCAGAGTGCTGGGATTACAGATATGTTCCTGTACCTGGCAAGAACAGATCATTCTCATCATCACAGAAAGTTCAAATGGAAGGTGTCACCTTAAAATATACTACAACTCAGCCACAGATAAGCATTTTTGTAGACTTAATACTAAGGCATACAGGAGTTTGCAAGATTCCTAAATCAAGCTAAGAATTGCCTCCCTACCGTAATTAGAAATCTGAATAAAATATGTGAAATGACTATTTTCAGTTATCAGTAAAAAGTAGCCCACAACTATTTTAGAGAAACGTAAGTGAGCCCTGTGCCCACCCACGCCTGCTGCCTGGAGGTGCATCCCAACCAGCAGGGCAGGAAGGAAGACCCCAAGTAGAATATAGCAGTTCCTCTGAATTAAGAAGTCAGAGATCTGAGCTTGGGGCAGCTAAGCAGCTGAACTGTGCAAGGCAAATAGTGAAGGGAAAGCTATGCAGACAAAGGTTTAAAACCTGCACGGTACCCCCGTGAGTGGCTAAACACTAAGCTGTTTATGTTATGGTGAAAAATTCAACAAGGCTACACAAAGAGCAAATAGCAAAAAACTGTAAGATGAACAAGGCCACAAGTGCACACAGAACTGGAGAAAACTTGAGTGCCAACCAGCCTAAGCAGAGAGGCCTCACTGAAAACCCAGGACATGGGAGAAGGGACTCCAGGAGGATCACACTTTAACAGAACTAAACTGCCCCCAAATAGGAGGGTTACAGCGGCCCTAACAAAGCTGTAAAGCAGGCTGATACACAGGCTACTGCACAGGGTGGAGGGAGGGGTGCAGTGGACACAATCAACCATATCAATATCAAAACAATGTAAGGAAAATACGCACACAATGAACAGGAAAACGGGAGCTAGAACAAATGATCTAGCACTCCTATCTTGCAACTTATTCTGAAAAAGTAGGGACTGTAACACTGCCAAAAATTAGATGATGAAGGGCTAGTAGCCCTGAATTACTAGTAATTAAGTCACTTCATGGATGTAAAGAAAACGATTTTTTCAGATATAAAGGCCTTGCAAATCAGTTTCACAAAAGAAAAAAAAAACCAATCACTATATTCAGTTTCCTGGTGGTACTTTCAAAAAGGAACAAGGATCAATATATATTTAGAGCTGTATCAGATTGTAAAACCTAACAGTATAAAAAAAAAAAAACTGAATAACAAACATAACTCTTATTTCAATGTCTGATGCTAATCCAGCTCACGTCCCACCTCTAATGCAGCTGTCAGTTAAGTTATTTGATAAGGGAGTATGCCGTAATAAGTCGTAAGAGCAGGCTCTATAGTCAGACTGGTTGAGTTTAAATTCTTGCTTACTCATTTTCTAGTTGTGCAGCTGTGTGCAAAGTTCCTTAGTATCTATTCCCCCACACACACATGTGCAAAGTTCCTTAGTATCTATCGCCCCACACACACATGTACAAAGTTCCTTAGTATCTATTCCCCCCACACACACTGCTAAAATTGCCCAAGCTGGCCTCAAACGCCCAATCCTCCTGTTATCTCCCACATGCTGGGATTACGGGCATGCCCCACCACACTCAGCTCTCCATCATCTATTTCTCCATTTCTTCATCTGTAAAATGAAGGTAACAAATGCATCAGGATCACAGGACTACGAAGACTGAATCAGGATGCATCCAGTGCTTAGAACCGAGGCTGACATATGGGAAGCGCTCAATAAATGTTAGCTCTTCTTATCTACCATGTATAGAATAAACACTTTGGAAAAAAATTTACAGATATAATGTTTTCAGACTCAAAGCAGGTACTAAGAATATAAATATTAAAGAAGACATTTCTACCCTGTAGATATTTAAAATGAGGTGAAGGAAATATTCATAATGTAACTATACTGCCTAGAATAAAATGAAAATAAGTCCTGAAGGAAATTACAAAGACAGTTCCCAGAGGAATGAGAAATGATTTGAGATTAATATTAAAAGGTATTTCTAAGAAAGCTGAAGAAAGAACATTCAAGCTAAATCTAAAAATTCAGAAAGAGTCAACATCCTGAGCAGAGGAGCCTGCACTCCAGGCAGAAGAAACAACGAAGTACACAGGCAGCAATTACATGCTTGCTGAAAGCCCTGACAAGGAGGGATGCATCTTCTTTCAACACTGCACAAATGCCAATTTTGCTATGGTGCCAACCCACCATCCACCATCTCCCCAACAAATGCCTGCCTGCTGTCACTCACAAGACAGTCTGGGGCTCATTTTTCTTTCCTAATGTCAATGGCAAGGGAATAGGCAGCCTGAACTAGAACAGTATAGGTTGTATTAATTGACTTCTGGAGATTTAAAACTAACATAATATTAAATACATAGCCAAACGTATGTTAAAGCCTATTCTAAAAGCTATAGTTCCATTCTAAAATTAACTGTGTTTTAACTAAGTCAAACAGGAAGGGATTTTATGCACCAGAAAACAGCCTGGCCATCTCTTCTGAAACAATAAGGGAAAAAAAAATAAAGAAGTAGATACTTTTGAGACCTACAGTTAAATTATTCTTTGATGGCCTAAAATAAATAATTGAAAGTCCTCCAATGCTGCTACGTGGTTTTTCCTTCTCAAGGGAAACAATGAGATTAACACTGTTGTAATAAACATTTGTGCTCACCTTACCCTTAAATATTACATACTGCAACCAATGGAACATGTAATGCCTACAAAGTTCCTGTGAAAAATTTCTCAACTCCAAAGTGTACGAACTTAAGAGTTCTATGTTACTACTGAAAGAGAAGAGCCTAAACACAAACCCATCTTCAAATCAGGTGTTCCATTTATGATTGGACCTTCTTAGGTACAATCACTTCTGCCTCTGAGGAAGTAATAAAAGGGGACCAAGGCATTATCATCTTTTGTAGCAGTTCCCTGGAGAGGGTAAACCATGTGTGCTCACTTTAATCTGACAAAAAGGGTCATCCCAATCTACTCAGACATAAAAAATGAAGCGGGTTGTTCAGATCTCTTCAGGTATAAAAAAATCTTATTACCAGAAGGCTAAACCAATGTGGGAACTGCCCCAAATGTTGTATAATACTTCTTGTGGTACAGAAAAAGAAGGGTGAAAAGTACATGAAATGAATGAGTGTTCCAAGGATCTTGGTATCCAGAAACTTTTGCCTTTTACTTTTACAAAAATAAACTAAGCTAAATGGAAAGGATAACGTCATCTCTGAGAGGTTAACATAATTAAGAAACCAATATAACTCAGGATGAAAAAAATGGATTAGTAAAGATACAATTAAGGTTAGAAGCTATTAAAAGATTTAGCTACTTCAATTCAAGAAGTAGAAAAATTTTTAAAGATTTTCTAATAAATATTCAACAAGCCTGGCAAGCACAAGATCCTGAGTTCAATTCCCAGTACCAAAATAAATAAATACTGAATGAATGAATAATGGCTGGATCCCTAGGTTAAAATACGTTATTGTGGTCCATTCTATTATTCATCAGTCCCTATATTATCCACTGTACAAGTAAAGGGACTTGATAAATTACACATGTAAATTTATTAAAAAAAAAAAACATTTAATACAAACAAAACAGTGGAAAACACAAAGAGAAATGAGACACCTTTGGCCCTTAATAAACTATGTAGAACCAGCGTTACAGTTTAGATCTAAAACATCATGGTCTGGGGGGTATAGCTCAGCAGCACAAGTGCCCACCTGGCAAGCGCAAGGTCCTCCATTCGATCCCCAGTACACCCCCCCAAAAAAAAGAAAAAAAAAAAAAAATCACCATAGATCTAAAACATCACTCACAGGGCTCATGTGTTCGGACGTGGGGTTTAGTGTCCTGGGGTGGACACTAACCAGTGGATGGATCCCTTACTAAGTCCAGTAGCTCAATGAGCTGTTAGGTGGCAAAACCTGCTTGGAGGTGGCCCCTGGGGGCAGGCGGGGGTGGGGGTGGGGGTTGGGGAGGACTGGAAGAGTGTGTTATTGTCCCCAGCTCCCCACTTCTCTGCTTTCAGGCTGCCAAGGGTTAAGCACCCTTTCCTGTAACACCCCTCTGCTGCCTGGAAACCAACCAGTACACTGTAACCATGAGCCCAAATAAAGCCCTCCTCCTCTAGGTTTTACAAGTCAGTTTTTACACATGTAAATTTTAGTATGGCATTTGTTTATAGTTCATTTTTTTGGTAAAGGAAACTGTGAGAAGGGTGTATGAAGAGAAAACGTTCAAGTCCAGTGACCGACAATCACCTCAACGGACAAGGGAGAATGACATACTTACTCACACGTACCTAAGTCATTTCACTAGGAAGAGCTCCCATCTTCCTGGACCTCACATCAGGAGGCCTCCTTCCTCAACTGGCAGCCTAGTGACACTTTATTAATAAACTAACCAACCAAATGTCCTAAGGTTTTAGAAAGCCAGAAACTTGATTCTGAAGAACACTAGTTTTTAAACTTTTTAAAGTTTTTGCCTTCAATATATGCAATTAGTAAGTATGTACTTATTAAATCTTCAGTATTAAAGATGTCTAAATATATGCTTACAATTTATCTATGGTTTTAACACGAATATATACAAAATGTAAATAATAAAAAGGAGCATTTGTATCCCCCACTCTCAGGAAAGAAATCTTTATTTCTTTTAAAAATTATTTGTTTTAACAGTACATTTTTTTTCTTCTCCAAACAGGGTCTCACTAGCTTGCCCAGGCCAGTCTCAAACTCATGCTCCTCCCTCCTGAGCGTCCTGAGTAACTGGGATTTTGAGTCAGCACACCCAGCCTTCTGTCCTTCTGTATTAGAAGCCTCCTGTATGCCATCCCAACTCAGAGACAACCACTAGATGGACATATGTTACTCATGCTCTTTTCTATAGGTAGATATTGATAGATACAGATATAATCACATTTTCTTTGATAATACACTATACAATTTTGGAAACCAAGCAGCAAGCACAGATTTAGCTATGAAAGAACAGACTCAAACAATTTACCGCTACCTCTAATCCCAAGGAACAGGGTACACTTCCTTAGTGCTCATTCTTACCTTTCAAAGGTCTAATCCAACATCCACTTCCTCCTTCAACTACTAAAGTTCCCAAAGAATTCTCTCCTTGCAGCTACTAAACTTTCAGAAAACTATATTATTAAGCTCTAATTTATCAAATTATTAAACAGAACTATTTCACAAATTAGTTTTAAGATTTTCCGTAAGAGACAGTGTCTCTTTTTTAAGTTTCATAACTATGCCGGTATTGTTCCAACTAGTATCTGATACTACAACACTATCTTGAAGCAACTAAAAATTGTAAAATTTTAAATATCAGTATGTTGGTCACAAAACTGTATACATACAAATGATTAAAAATAGTAAATGTTATATTATATATACTTTACCATGATAAAAAAATTTTTTTTAACCAGCAAACTGGTATTGTGGAACTTTTACTAGATGGGAAGCAGGTATTTTCTTAATTTAGAAGCAATGTGTTTTTCTCCTTCTCCCACTCTGGATCCCCTTCTCTCTTTCATGCTGAAATGGCAGCTTATTCCTAATCTATATCAAGAACAACCCTAGCTAGGCATGGTGGCACACACCTGTAATCCCAGCGCTGGGGTGGCCAAGGCAGGAGAATCAAGGTCAGCCTGAACTACATAGTGAAATCTTGTCTCAAAAACCAAACACACAAAAAACAACAAAAGAACTAAGTGCTATAGGCAAAGTTTTGGCACTGACCATCAATCTACAACCCATAGGAAAACTATATTGCTAAGAAAAATAAACTTTGCTAAGTGTTAGCTTCACACTTTACTCGAATTCTTAATCCAAATGGACATTCCGTTTTACAAAATCCTTATTATATTTAAATACCTGTGAGAAAAGCTTTAGATATCTCTTCATTGCTCAGAGAACTTAGAACAGTGCAACAGCAGCCCAAGTTGACAACAAAGTCAGTTAGCACCAATACCATAGAATTCATTCATGAAATGTTACTGAGGTAAATAACAGTAGTACATAGTCATTTTAAATGTCAATCCAATGCCCTTGCATGCTACACAAAGGAAATCTGGTGGTCTAAGACATGCTATTAAAATCCAAGCCCAATGCACCATTAGTAGGGATAATGTCACATCAAGAGACTGTTTATGAAGGATCTATCAGTAAGCAATGGACAGTAACTGATAAATTATGGGAGCACTAAGGAAGAATATTATCTCTCATTCAATATCTGTTCAACCTTATTAAAATTAACAAGGGCAGGGCCAGGCTTATAGTTCAGTGGCACAGCACCTGCTTGGCAAGCATGAGGTCCTAAAATTGATTCCCAGTATAAAAAAAAAAAACTAAAATTAAGAAGGGTAAAATTTTATAAAACCAAAGTCTTCACTGGCTGATGAATCTTATTTTACCTTAATAACTAAATAAGATTCTGACTACTTTTTTACAGGTTCAAGAGGATTTTAAAATTTTTACAAAGTCTAAAAACTTTTTGAGAACAGTTGAACTTTGCAGTTTGTTTTTCTTGGGTTTGTTTTTTTTGAGACAGGGTCTCACTATGCAGTTTAGGCTGGCCTGAACTCACTATGTAGCCCAGGTTGGCCTCAAACTGATGGCAATCCTTCTGCCTCAGCCTCCTGAGTACCAGGATTACAGGTGTGCACAACCACGCCAAGCCTCAATTTTGGAGTTTTACCCAACAGCTTACCACTAAGTAATTCAATCCAGTTCTGGACTGTTTCCGGAGGCTGTGTCTCTTTAACATGCTTCAGAGCTTCATCAAGAAGAACGTCCCCCGTTGGAGCATCAGATTTACAGATCACCTAAATACAAGCAGTGAGAAACAATCCACTCAGGCCTTTTTTCTGATATGACCTCAGTAAATGAAAAAAAATCATGTCACTCATCATATTCAGAATCCCTACGTTCACGCAGTATCAAAGTTCAGCTTTTGAAGTTCTGTTAAGGAAATCCAATGTTTAGCCTAACCAAATTAGATACAAGTGAATGAAATTAAAGCTCTGCAATAATCAGTAAAGCAAAATGCTAGGACTGTTTATACTTTAAATATACTTCCATTTGCTGCTATAAATATGGGCTATATGATCCAGGAATTCACTGTTTTAAGCATTATTAGTTCTAGGACAGATTCAATGATATGAAAGAATGCAATATATGATAAAGGTGGCATTTCATATCACTAAAGAAACAAGCTTTTCAATAAATGTCATTTAAAACAGTAGCTAACAAAGTGGACACAAAAGTTAAAGCCTGGCTTCTCTGCGATTCTGCCATAATAAAACAAAGATTTAAATGGGAAGAAACAACTTTAGGGGTGACAAGGACTTCCTTAAACTGCCACACCAGTTGTAGAAACCTTAAATACCAAATATTAAGTACAAAGTAGACAGATATGAGGAGAAAAAAAATCAAAATGAAAAAGGTTAAAATACCATTTAAAAAAATTTTTAAACTCATTTGGAGATAAAGAGCCCATCTTAAATAGTAGAAAAAATGCAAAGGGAGAAAGTGCTATACTGCTTCATTCAAGGATTCAATTCTTAAAGCTTCCATTCATGGTGTCTGTTAAGCAACAAAATTTCTAGTTGAAATTCTGCAACACACCCATATTTACAATGGCACAGTTTGAAGTAGCCAAATCTTGGAAACAGCCCAAATGCCCATCAACTGATGAACGGATAAAGAAGATGTGCATTTTTTTTTTTTTTACAATGGACTACTACTCTGCCATAAAGAAAGACATGCTTGAGACATTCCTAGTTAAATGGATACACCTTCAGGACATACTTTTAAGTGAGATAAATCACACACATGTATAAATACTGCACTGTTTCTCTGGTATGAGAAACTAAGTAAGGACCAAAATGTATAATAGATATTATGAAATAGGAAGAAAATGTTCAAATGGGAAAGGGAACTAGGGATGGAAGAGAGTGAAAGGAAGGAAGGGAAAAGAAAAAATGATGATGAGAAAAGAATGATAAAATGGAAACAAAGTTTTTGTAAATGAGGGGAAGAGGGGTTGAAGGGAGGGGAAGGAAATGGGAAAAAAAAAGAATCAAGTTCTGTCACATACAGGTACAAATTCCTTATGATGAATGTGATCATTATGTATACCTAAAATGCACCAATTAACTTAATTTTAAAAAATGATTATATCACCTTATGTTAGCTATGAAAATGTTGTGTTAACGTTACTTTAAAATACGACTACCCCTCAAACTTTCCCTAAAAAAATGTTACCTTTTTAGTCAATCTTATGAAAGGCTAAAAAATGTATCTACAGTTATTTTTGAGACATCATGTCCCAACATACAGTAAGAACCATCTCACAAACTACAAATCTAGTAAGCTACATTTTAAACGAAAAAGGATGAAGTTAATTTTGATATATTTGATATAGTCTAACATAGCCAAAGTAACAGGTAATAAATATTTAAAAATTAAGAAATTTGGGCTGGACATTTACCTCAGTGGTATAATGTTTGCATAGCACATGTGAGGCCCTGGGTTCAAACCCCAGTACCTCAAAAAACATTTGTTGAGATACTTAATATTCTTTTTTCCCAATACTGTCTTTAAAAGTCCAATGTGTCCTTAGCTGTAGTATATTTCAATTTATTCCAGCCACATTTCAAGTCCTCAAGTGTCATAAAGACATGTGAACAGTACACAGAGAATACTGTTACAGTGGAAGAAAGTTCCATTGGGCAGTGCTTGCTTTTTTTTGAGACAGGGTGTTGTGTAGTTCCAAATGGCCTTGAACTTACTGTAGCCCAGGCTCAACTCAAACTCGCAGCAATCCTTCTGCCTCAGCCTACCAAGTGCTAGGATTACAGGCATGTGCCACCAGACCCAGCCTAGAGCAGTACAAATTTTAGACCCTATTTTTACTGGAGTACAAGAGAGAGCAAGAAAAAGAGAACCTCAGGAGAAAAACATGCATGTGTGTGTGTATGTTTGCTGTGGCCATGACACCACTTCTTTCTTCCCACTCAATCCTTGTATCCCGGCCTCAATGCCTACTTCTTGCGTCCCCCTTTGTCAGGCCACAATGCCCTGGCTACAGGTGGACCATGTTACAGAATTCTGTTCACCACATCTCTCTCAAACACATCAACTTTCTCCATCACCTCTATTTTTTCAAGTCCTCCTACGCACTGTCTTTCACTTACATCAATTTGAGTTTCCTAACTACCATCCTTGAACTAATGTTAGGTCTTTTCAGTCTGCTCTCCTCACTGATCTCCCTATAAAGTGAATCTCTTCTTTTCCTCCTAGGAAATAAATCTTATCACGACATTCCACCGCTCCTGCTTAAAACTATTCAAAGACTCATGGAATATGCTGTAAACTCCTTAACAAAGTTCAGTAGTAACAGTGGCTCGTAAACTCTAATCAAACGTATTGGTTCTATTTAGCTTATTGGGTCTTTGGGGGGAGAAAACTGTTTCTAGATATAAAGAGATAATATTTATAATGAAAAGAAAGTTTCAAAAGGCCACAACATCCTCAAAGATTTAAAAGATATTATATCCATAAAATAAGAAACTTCTGCAAAATTTAAGAAAGGGGTTGTAGAAATCAACATAACATCCTTCATCGAAAAAAGAAAAAAATTCAAGAGAAAGATCAAAAGGTAAGAATAGCCAAGAAGCCAAGAATAAGAAAAACAGAGAGCAGAAGACAGCAGAAATATAAGAAAATTTTTTAAAACCAAGTGATACAAATAGCCAGACTGAAAGAACCCATGCGTTACAGTTTAAATCTGAAATGTCCTCCAAGAGTTCACGTACTGGGGCTGGGGATTTAGCTCAGTGGCAAAAGCGCCTGCCTGGCAAGCGCAAGGTCGTGAGTTCGGTTCCCGGTACCGGAGAAAAACCAAAAAAAAAAAAAAAAAAAAAAAAAAAGAGTTCACGTACTGACTACATGATGTGACAGGAAGCAAGCCCCACCTCCCAAAGCAATGGGGCCAAGTGATAATGGACTGAAACCTCTGAAATGCTGACCAAAATAAATCTTCTGTCCTTCTGAGTTGTTTTTCTTAGGTAGTTTTCACAACAGGAAGCTAACATAGCATGCATAATGACTTTTCAATTACCCACATCAAGAAATACCAAACAGCTTCAAGATACCAGGAGTAAGAGAAGATCTCAAATGGTTTCTAGAGAATAAAAAATATTACACGAAGAATGAAAATTAGGGCAGCAGACTGAAACAGCATTCTGTATATCAGACAACAATGGAGAAACACCTTCAAAATTACGCAAGAAAATAACCCTAAACATTCTAGTAAAACTGAGTAGGAGAAATGTGTTTTCAGGCACAGTGCCTCACAACAGTTTCCTCCCAAAAAGATGGAAGCAAAGAGATCCAGGAAACAGGCTGAAGGCAATAAAAATGTCACTATATGTTCTAAGATGACAACTGTGCAGTGGAATCAGAGACAACCAGTCCCAACTGTTGAATCTGATTATCTAAACATTTGAAAATTAATAAAAATAATTTTTCTCTGATAGAGCAAAAAAACTTAGGATACTTACACAGAAAACTACAAGAGGGGCTGGGGATTTAGCTCAGCGGCACAGCGCCTGCCTGGCAAGCACAAGGTCGTGAGTTCGATTCCCAGTACTGGAAAAAGAAAAAAAAAAAACTACAAGAAACGAAAATATTGAAGAATATGACTCCATAGGAAACAACAGCAACATCATAACAGTCACTAAAATACTTAAATTAGCAAGGGTGAGGAGATTAGCGGAAGTAGTACATAAAAGCATCAAACAGTCACATATTCTAAGAGAAAGTAAACTGTCTCAAATTGATATATCAAGAAATGGCAGCTGGATGTGGTGGTACACACCTGCAATCCCAGGACTTGGGAGGCTAAGGCAAGAGAATCAAAAGGAGTTCAAGGCCTGTCTGAAGTACATAATGAGATCCTGTCTCAAAATCAAAAAAGAAAGAAAAAGAACTGGCAAAAGAAGTAACAAACAGAATTTTAGTAAGCTGAATGGAAGCTTCCCAAAAATGTCCATGCCCTATCATTTCAGATGAAATTAAAGAGCTCAAGATAAAAATCACTGTGGATTATCCAAGTGTGTCCCACATTCAATAACAAATGTTTCTACAAAAGTCAGAATGGGGCCGTGGATGTTGGCACACACCTGTCATCCCAGCACTCGGGGGGCCTCAGGCCAAAGGATCACTGTGAGTTCGAGGCTAGCCTGGACTACGCAGCAAGACTTTGTCTCAAAAAAAAAAAAAAAAAGAGCGAGAGAGAGCAAGTGAGAGAGCCAGAACAGACAGTGGTATGAAGACACTGCAGAGGCAGACACAGGGCCAGAAGCTAAGGAACAACTGGAGCAACCAAAGCTGGAAGAGACAAAGAACAGAACTCCCTCAGAGCCTTCAGCACTCTAGATCTCAGACCTCTGGCCTCCAGACAAGGAGAGAAACCGAGTTTGCAGCAATTTACTAAAGTAGCCCCGGGATGCTAATATAAGGACTGAAAATGGCTTTCTCCCAGGAGCAGAGCTAAGTAATGAGGATAGACAGGCAGACTGTTTTCTGTTAGAAAAATTTAATTTTATAACTATAGTATTTGTATTATCTTCAAAAATCAATCATTTTTATATTAACAAATTAAATAATAAAGACTATTTTTCACAAAGACTTATGAAAGTCACCTAGATCATTTGAACTAGTAGCTAGTAGATTAACTCTGAAGTCCATGAAGGCAGAGAACATGCCTCTCTTGGTCACTGCTGTGTCCCAAGGTCTAGCACAGTGCAGAGCACTTAAGCACTTGATATATGGGTGAATAAATGAACAAAAGAACAATCAACCCATTGATACGGTTCAAAAACAACACAAAACTGTTTCTTTTTGCTACAAAAAGAACCACCATTTCAATCTTTTCACTTTATTTTTTTTTCCCATTAGGTCAACACTGTAATATGAATACAAATTTGCTTAAATTACTACAGTAAGCATTAATTTCTCCATATACAGCATTTCACTGATAGCCATAATGACAGCTTCCTCTGGGTCTTTACCTCCATTAATCACGGCTGCCTAGTAATATGAAATAAAATTTATAGCTTCCTTTATGTAACTTTACAAAGCAGTAACTTTGTAAAACTACCTCACGTCAACCGACATGACTCGACTTGGAATGACTAAATTTTAAAGCCCCAGCTCCCATGTAAAATATTTTCCAATATGCCACCTTTTTCCTGTTCTGTGTTTTTGTTTTGTTTTTCAGGCTAGGGATCAAACCCAGCCCTTACACGCGCTAGACAACTGTTCTACCACAAAGTACATCCCAGTCCAGCAATGTTCACTTTTTGCATGGAACTTCCATGAATATATAAACTAGAGAGTTTCTTACTTACAAATTATCCCCTATAGCATACGAATCAAAAAATGTTCAGCCCTTTAAAAAAAAAAAAGTTCAGCTCTTATCTAAAACTTTTGCATTAAATACATTAGTTCTGAAACACTATGCCTCTAAAGAAACACAATAGACTGCAGGAGAAACGGTCTTACTCTGTAGGGTGGTCTTGAACTCACTATGCCCAGGCTGGCCTTGAACTTGTGGTGAGCCTCCTCCTGCCTCAGCCTCCCAAGTGCTGGGATCTGATCTTCGCCACCCCACTTAGCAAAAAACAGTCTTAAGTATATGAAGTTGAAGTTGTGTTTAAAAATCTAAAAGCCAGTTATCACCTATATTTTATCAAAATACCTACCCGTATCGTCACAAGACATACAGAAGACACAGATATAAAAAAGTACAATCTGCCAAAAAGATCAACAGCATCATTTGCACAGTAACTCTGTTAAATTCTTTTAAGTTTTTGTCAACCCTTTCAAAATTATGGATCTCAGAAACAGCAAATGTAGTTGGGCGTCTTTCTGAATAAGGAGTGGTCAGGGATCCTAGCAATGAATTACATTGTTCACTATATGTGAAAAGACCAGGAAACCAAGAATGCAAAAGGATATGCAAAAGATATGTGTAACCTAATAAAGACACTTTTAAAATCACTTTTAAGTCTAGAAGCTAGTAGTAGAAATATTCGCTTTAAGTAGTACGAAACTCTTTTAAAAGGCTATTGTTCAGCAATCCTCTTACCTTTCTTGTCAAAAGACTTTTACGTCTCATTCCACAAGCCTCTAGTTGTAACCTTCCTCTCAATGCTAATTCAATTAACATACAGCCACGTAATCCAGATGATATACAGTCATTCCAAAAAGATGTGTAGCCCTATTGAAAAAAAGAAAAAAAGATAGCTAATTTATCACTTTGAATTAAGAGTTAAAAATAGAAATTTTTTGTCACTTTTGGTGCCTTTACTTTTCATATTTCCACACTAAAATATTGAAAAAATACAATTAACATAGATTATTAATCTAGGATTCCAGCAGCTCTTTGTCTTTCCACCAAATATCCTTACTCACAGATAAACAAGTAACTTTAAAGGTTGGATATTTACAAATACCACATAATTCATACTTTCTAAGCTGTGTGTTAGACTCTCAGATCTCCAGCTCCTGCCTGGAGAAACCGGTAACCTCAGACAGGAGCATTTTATTACTAGTGTGTGTGGGCAAGTTAGGGAGCTCAGGAAAAACAAGCTAGTCTATCTGGTCTCGAAATTTAGAACATTTGCCCATGTATTAAGATAAATATGCAAGGTTAATTTTGGAAGAATAAACCAGACAGGTACGAGTACGCACCCTTCAGTGAAAAGAAATGTTATCTAGTACTCCTCTTACCAATCTTGTCAAAAGGCATTCTTGTTCAAGGCCAATTTCATCTTTTTATTGTTACTCAAAATTTGGGCAAATCCAAGGTGAAAGAACAGCCAGACATAAGAAGCTGATAGGAGTCTAGGGCTTCTGGTCAACCAGGTATCACACCAGTGAACTCTTTCAGAATAAATAGCAGAGACTGTCCAAACTGTAAAGCAAAGAACTCTGTCACCTATCAACTTAAGATTCCCAGCTAGCAGAAGAAAACAAAAGTTATGACTGGTTCTGGTTAAGGCTCAGAAGAAGGTATCATATAATTCTCATAGGAGGGCCAGGCATGGTGGTACACTTGTAATCCCAGCACTCAGGAGGCTGAGGCAGGAAGTTCACCTCAAGTTTCAGGCCAGCCTGGGCTCCCCAAAGAGTGCAAAGTCAGCCTGGACTACATAGGAAGACCCTGTCTCAAAAAAAAAAAATCTTTTTGGTAGGAGGGACGAGCAGGCCAACTGAATCACATAGGAAGGGAGCATGAGGATTAAGGAGGTCTGGACACTTGGACCAGCATTTCTTAGGAGTCAGCCCTGGTACAGTGCCAGCTTGAATTTCAGACGATGACTGAGGACAGTGTCTATGGCTTCACTACTGTCACAGCACCTTACGGTAACTCACAAAGCTGCCACTTCTGAAAAGGAGAGATTTAGGAAAATGAGAACCTAGATAAAGGCAGCCACAAAAGGCTGAAGAAAAATACAAGGGCTTTTTTTCTTTGTTTTCATTTAAGGCAATCCTTTTAAACTTTGGAAATGTTAAGAGTCAGATCAAATTAAGATTATGAAAGATACACAAAGATGTTTAATAAAATCAATAAATTAGAGAGATTAAGTGAAAGCCATGACAACTAGAGCTCTAGGAACGCTGGAAATGGATTCCATGTGCAGTTGAAGTCCCAAGTATGTGACTCTGACTGGCCTGGTCACAGAGATGGAGTTCCTGGGCAAACCTCTGTAAACTGTAAGCCAGAGTACACCTCAAAAGAGCAGGAATGGATAGAGAAAGCTCCACAGCCTGCAAACACCAGCAGAACAGAATTTAGGAGTTTACAATTGATAGCAGGGTACTAAGTACATCCAAATCTCACTGGACACTGGGTATCAGAGTCCAAACATGTTTGCAAAACAAAAGTTTTAATGATAAGACTGTAGAGATTTACAACAGTTAGTGAATAGTTTTGGGTAATTCACATGGGAAGTACATGAGTGGGCAAGGACAATACCTTACCAAATCTTCTAGGACTCTCACCAGAAATATTCCAGAGATAAATGAAGCCAAAAAAACTACACCAAGCAACAGAGCAGTCCAATATTTTGATCTCCTACTAAAATCTACCTCATAAAAGCACGATCAAGAACTAATGGAGGGAGGAGATTTTAGAAGATCAGAATTGAGGCAGAGGGGCAGCACATGACTATAATCCCAGCATCTGGGAAACTAAGGAAGGAGAAGCATGAGTTCAAGGCCAGCCTAACTACATACAGACCCTGTCTCAAAACAACAAAAATAAAATTAGACAAGCAGGCAGGGCTGAACAAAAACCAACTGTTTAAGTGGCAATGTATATGAGAATTAAGTACCTTAAGCATGAAAGCAGGAGATTAGGAGAGAATCAAGGGAATTTGGTCATGACCTAGCAAGGCTCTGCAATGAATCCATGACACAACACAATACAGACCACCAGCTGGCATGGGACTACTTAAGAGAATCAGGAGCTGGAGCACCAGCTTTGGCCTTACCAAGTGCTGAGGAACTCTACTCTTATTTTCTGACTAGGGCTATCCTTAGAAATATGTTTCAACAATACCAAAACAAATCACTTTTTTTTTCTTTTATTTTAAAGAGAAAAAAAAAAACTCACAAAACAACAACAATGAAGACAAAAACAGAAACACAGGAATAACAAAAATGATACATGACCTCAAACCAAAATGATAGGAATTAACAAGGGTTGCTACATTACATACTGTTATCTTCAATGAAGTTGCTCAGTCCACCAGATGTAAGAACGTAAGATTGATCAAACAAAGATGGTACCAAGTGATAAAAAAAAAATTGGAAATGATACACAGCTTTACCATACAAGATGGCAGGAATTTAACAATGGTTCTTATACTGCATATTGTTGTCTTCAGATCAGTCATTCTGATTACCAGATTCAAACGTGCAAAACTGGTCAAGAAAATTTTAAGCATTAATTGTTTCTTTCAATAAACGCAGACATCAGCAATACACCAATCCCAGCTATCCTTGTATACAGATATAAATTGTTTTCATTTTTAAAACAAAAAATGAAAGAACAAAAACAAATACATAAACAAAATAGCATAGAGAACAATAAAAATGATACAGAATTTCAAAACAAGGTGAAAGATATTAACAATGGTTGTTATATTACATGTTATCTTCAAAATGGATGCACAGATAACCAGATATAGGCATGTAAGACTGATCAATTACACATTAACTGTTCCTTTCAATAAACCAACAGATATTAGTAGTACAATTATCCTAGCTATTCTGTGTATCTGTATATACACAGTTTTCCCTCTTCTTTCTTTTTCCTCTCCCCTCCTTCATCCCAGTTGCTCCTTCCTATTTCAGCAGTTTCTTTACCTTTCACAGTATCCATGGACCATTCAGATTTTATTTACTCTTTCAGGTTCTAACAGTAGGGAGGAAATACAATGTTTACATACGTGAGTCTGATTTATTTAACGTATGAGTATGGTCTCTAGTTGCATCCATTTACCTATAAAAGCCTCTAGTCTATCTTTCTTTATAGTTAAGTAATACTCTATTGTATAAAAATACCACATCTTTTTTATCCATTCCTCAGTTGATGGACATTTGGGTTGTTTTCAAGATTTAACTATTACAAATTGTGCTGCTACAAACATGAGGGCACATATATCACTCTGGTATGCTGTTTTCAGTTCTTCTGGAAAAACACCCAGGAGGGGAATATCTGGGTTGAATGGGGCCTCTAATCCTAGTTTACTGAGGAATCTCCAGACTGATTTCCACAGTGGTTGAATCTATACTCCCACCAACAACAGCGGAGAAGGGTTCCTTTTTCCCCACAGCTCCTCCAGCATTTGTTATGGATTGATTTCTTGATGATGGCCTTTCTTTCTGGGGTGATGGGATCTCAGGGTTGTTTTTTTGGTTTTTTTGTTTTGTTTTGGTTTTGGTTTTGGTTTTTCTCCAGTACTGGGAACCAAACTGAAGACCTTGCACTTGCCAGGCAGGCGCTTTGCCGCTGAGCTAAATCCCCAGCCCTCAGCCCTGTTTTAATGTGTATTTCTTTAACAACCAATGATGTTGAACATTTTTTCATATATTTATTTGCTGTCTATATTTCTTCATCTGAGAAGTGTGTATTCATCTCAGATGCCCATTTTTGTATTGGGTCTTTGAATTTTGGGGGCTTGATTTTTTTTAATTCTCTACATGTTTTAGACAGGAGTCCTTTGAGGGACAGTTAGCTAAAATTTTTTCCCAATTCGTGGGATTTCTTTTCACCCTGTTGGTGATTTCTTTTGATGTGCAAAAACTTTTCAGCAAGGTGAGATCCCATTTGTTGATTCTTTGAAGTACTTCCTACACAGTTTGGTTTTTATGAACTCTCTGCCTACCCCTATGTCAAGACTTCCACATAGTTTCTCTTCCAATAGATCTAGTGTTTGTTTTAATATTTAGATCTTTAAGCCATTTTGACTTTATTTTGGTGCATGGTGATAGGCATAGGTCTAGTTTTAGTCTCCGGCATGTGGAAAGCCAGTTTTTCCAGCACCTTTTATTAGAGAGGCTATCTTTCCTCCAATGAATATGTGTGGTCTCTTTGTCAAAGAGAAGATGGCTGAGTGTTTTTGTGGTTGTGTCTGCATCTTCTAGTCTGTTCCACTGATCTTCAGGTCTATTTTTTTCCAATACCATGCTGCTTTTATCACAGTAGCTTTGCAGTATAATTTCTAATCAGGGATTGTGATATCTCCTGCCTTGCCTTTGTTTCCCAGGATTTGCTTTTGCTATTCTGGGTCTCTTCTCCTTCCAGGTGAATTTTAGGAATATTTTCTCTAGATCTGTGAGGTATGCCAATGGTATTTTCATTGGAATTGCACTGAATCTGTATAACAATTTTGGGACTGTGGCCATTTTCATAATGTTGCTTCTTCCTATCCATGAGCAAGGAATATCTTTCAATTTTTTGAAATCCTCTTCAATCTCTTTTCAGAGTACTGTAATTTTCACTGTAAAGATTTTTACTTCTTTTATTAGATTGATTCCTAAGTATTTCAATGTTTTGGATGCTGTTGTGCAAGGTATGGTTTCCCTTGTTCCTCTCTCAGTGTGTTTGTCATTTGTGTATAGGAATGCTATTGATTTTTGAGTGCTGACTTTGTATCCAGCTATGCTACTGAATTCAAAACATTCACTTTTAAAAGTATTTCTGAATCT